CACCGGGTGTACTCAACCGACACCCACCGGGTGTACTCAACCGACACCCACCGGGTGTACTCAACCGCTACCCACCGGGTGTACTCAACCGCCACCCACCGGGTGTACTCAACAGATACTGTCTCTTATACACATCTAGATGTGTATAAGAGACAGGTACTCAACAGATACCAACCGGGTGTACTCAACCGGCACCCACCGGGTGTACTCAACCGCCACCACCGGGTGTACTCAACCGCCACCACCGGGTGTACTCAACCGCCACCACCGGGTGTACTCAACCGCCACCACCGGGTGTACTCAACCGACACCCACCGGGTGTACTCAACAGATACTAACCGGGTGTACTCAACCGCCACCACCGGGTGTACTCAACCGCCACCACCGGGTGTACTCAACAGATACCCACCGGGTGCACTCAACCTCCACCACCGGGTGTACTCAACCGATAACCACCGGGTGTACTCAACCGATACCCACCGGGTGTACTCAACCGACACCCACTGGGTGCACTCAACCGACACCCACCGGGTGCACTCAACCGACACCCACCTGGTGTACTCAACCGACACCCACCGGGCGTACTCAACCGACACCCCCCGGCCAGAGCAGAGAGGTGGGAGTTCTAGGGCACCCCAGCCCCAACGGGGAGCTTACGCATCCCTGCGATCTTTTATCTAATTCTCAACGCGAATAAAATATCATCCCTCACTCCAGTGAAGCGCAACGATCATACCGGCGGGAGGTGTAAATACCTCTTGAGTGGAGCGTTTGTGATGCTCCGTGCATGCGGAAGATTTAAGAATAAATAAACAAATTAGCGCAAAACTTTTGACGATTTTTACACACAAAACACGCCAGTGTCGTGGCGAGCGCACAGCTCTTCCTTTTTATTAGGACGCAATCGCGTGTTAACGCGAACGTATCTCAGAGTATACGTTCCTGCCGTGCCACAACCATTCTTTGCACCATCAGGAATCTCTTAAAATCATGCGAATTGTGACTCCATTGTGGTGTTGAGGGTCGATGAAAGAATGGTTCCGATCGTCCAACTGTTCAAGGCAAACCACTCGAATAGATAGACTTATTCAAGACGAAACTAAACTACGAGAACATCGATGGATTTTCCCACCCACCTGCCAACAAGTGATCGATCTTCGGTTGTAAACAAAGCCCAGGTTTGATGTACCTTTCAGTTTTTGAACACATTGTTCCCTGGGTGCAATGTTTGCTTCAGACTGTCTTAATAAATGCAAATATTTGGCATGCGCTTTAGAATTATGGAAGTTAGTGAACCTTGCAAATTATTTCTATAGATATACAGGGAATTGAGGTACATAATTAAATGCTTTTGTAATAAAGGAATTTTTCTGTAAGGCTTTGAAAACGCGTGTACAAAAAATGTCTATAGTTGATCGTACTGAGAAGAAAAACAATATTTTAAGCCCACACATTCGAGTTTTTTTAAATTGAAACTAATCCGCTGCAGGGAAAGTCCAGAGAGCATAAATGTTTTGCTATAATACTATGCTGAAATTGTTGCAATATAAAGCGTGTAGTTGGAATGCAAGTCCACGGCTTACTCGTTGCAAGGTTCAATATTGAAGACTCATCGTCACACGCCATCAAATAAAGAGTGAAGAGTTGACCTTATTTTAAAGAGATATCTTAACAGTCGATTTCTTCGACTGCCTTTGGTGCATTGCATGTTGATGATTAACCTTAAACTAGTGAATTTAACCTTGAATTTCTAGTGAAATTTATACCACAGTGCCATTCATAATAAATCTAAGGATAATAGAACCATAATTTTAATATAATAACATGATGAAGCAACCCTATCAGAATTATTCTATATAAATCATCTTCAATTATCTATCACTCATAAATAAAAAAATTACGTTGTTTAAACAGAAGATAGATGACTTAACTCAACTGAAACGTTTCTTAACTTATCTTTTCGGAAAATTTGCTCATATTTAATTGTAAAACTTAAACAACTGAAATCAGGAGTTTGTCATTAGATATGGTGTTATCACCATTTTAATATATAATTTGACAAATAAATGATTAGGAGATAGTATTAGTAGAAATAGTATTATATCCAGGTTAAAATATAATATAGTGAATGTTTGCGGGTTTATAAAAGTATTCAAGGTATGATTACCAGTTTAAAAACTTATTCAGTTAAAAATTTAAAAGCAATAAAAATACCAAGATAATTCATCGTATGTTCATCAAATACGTTTCGGTGACCAGATTCATCATGCGTCAAAATTTTAAGAGAAATGAAGATTTGTTGAATTTATTCGGTATTTTCTTTGTTTTTAAATTCTTTGGAAACCTACAATTTAAGTCGACTGGTGACAAACGTATTTTTATTCATTCAGAGAAATTATTGAGACCTTTGTTCAAATATCTTGCACTTGTGTGGATGATCATAACACACATTGGCCCGCTAAAAGGACGCATCAGTGATATGTGATGCTAGTACGCTGTGATAAAAAAATATAACTCAGTACTCACTGCAGTGAGTGACAGAGAGCGCATTTTATCGTCGACGAAAACTTGAGGTCACGGACGGACGGGCGGACAGACAGACGGACATGGCGAGCACAATAGTGCATTTTTTCCATAAATGAGAAAAATGCGCTAAAAAGAGGGTAATTATTTAAGCAATACGTCCCAAAAAGTGGGTTTTTATTTGGACAATACGACCCATTCATTGATCTGAGTGTGGGGGCTGAGAAGCTGTACGTATGAGGCTATGGTCCGAGTAGCAATCATATTTACATGCCTCGGTCGGAGCATCACACTGATATTGTGATTGAACGTTCACGAACTTTGAACTGTATGCCCGCCCCAGCTTGTACTTGGAATTGTATAGGTCCGGAATGGTATTTTTTGTTCTTCCAGAAGGTCTTTGATGCAAAGAAGCAGGAAATTTATTCACCTGAAGCGTTTTGACAGGCGATGAATGGATGCAAGATTCTCCCGATACTTGACGTACTCAACAAAGGAGAACCAAAAGTGTATTCTCGAAAACCTGTTGAATAATTCCCATGATCATATTAAAAATACGATTCCGGTTTATGGGGCCATGTTGGTTTCAGTGACAGGACGGTTCAATTGCATATCAAGACGTATTGAACGAGATTATCTCCACTTAAAATCTCTCGTTGTTATATTATTCCGTACTCGACTGATATAACGGGCTTATATTATGAGATCACCGATTGAAATTCTCAAAATGAGAATTAAAGTATCAGAATCCGGTTAATGAGACCACATCGAAACGGTTCTAATAAACGGTTGTTCCGGAAAACCTCGCCTTTTTAAATAATACGCTTCTGTTTTACATTAAAAAATAGAATGAGTTTTTACTTCCATCAGCCAATCACTGGCGGTTTTTCAAGCTAAACCCACCAATCGCTGAAGAGAAATACGTCTCTTCGTGTACTAAGGCCGATACAGTCACTTTTTCTAAATCGTCTTGTAACTTATCGCAAATGATTTTCATCATTCACTCCCCCAGATGATGATTCACCTTCATCTTTCACGGCTTTGACGGCCGAGGCTTCAACGCCGTAGCCCAATGTTCTCATAGATCGTTCACCACTTAGAAAAATCACTACGCCACTTTTCCAAAAATATTATAATTATTGACATAAACAGCTAAATTGAACACCCCTTAATCACTAAATAAAAATTTATAAATTATTCTGGGAGATCATTTACTCCCAGTTTGACAACCAAACGTCGCACAATAAAAAATAAACGAATCATTTGTTCAAATCGTGACACTTTTTGCACGGAAAATAGATACGCCTTAACGCTGAACCTGACTGGGTCAAGACGACTCTTACTAGGTCAAAAATTACATCGCTAACAGAACAAAATCTCATTCATTTCTATGAAGACATTCCACTTCTCTGAGTGCATCGCTTTTTGGACAAAAATCCGTCAATTTTTCTGCGGGCAGTCCATTACAAACGACGCAGCTGAAGTGCGCGACCGTGTCGCTGCGACACTTAGTCGCCGCTATCGCCATATCTCGGCCACCGCCAGCCGTAATATTTCCCACAGATTTCCTTGTGTTGCCAAAACATCGATCGAACTGCAGCAAAACTTGTGCGAATATTGCGGACCGTAAATTGAATTGATGCGGTTTTAGGCTTCAAGAAAATAAAAAAAATTTATCTGAAGCTTCTACAATTTTGAAGATAGGGAAAATATAAAATACAGCCTAAACCGATCCAAATTCCACTTATCTGAATACATATTAATTGTGCAAAAATGAATATGTCGCAAATAAATTTAATTATTACACGTTTCAGTACGGCCAGCTATTTAGTCACGTTGCGATCTTGCTCACTCGCTTCTTCATTCACTAAAAGACTGAAGTCATACAAAGGTCTATTTTACACGTCTGTCCTTCCGCCCCTCATCCCCATCCCCCAGTTGGTCGAGCAGGGGGTGATGGGGGGTGAGGGTAGGGGGTTGGGGGTGGCACCCCCGCCGAGCAGTCAGGAGTGCCCTTACTTAACCTCACAGGGGGAGCCTCGCTAGGCCTGCTGAGAGGCAAACCCCGTGTGTGACTGCTGGGGCCTGCTGAAGTGACTGCTGGGGCCAGTTGATGTGACTGCTGGGGCCTGCTGATGTGACTGCTGGGGCCTGCTGATGTGACTGCTGGGGCCTGCTGATGTGACTGCTGGGACCTGCTGATGTGACTGCTGGGGCCTGCTGATGTGACTGCTGGGGCCTGTTGATGTGACTGCTGGGGCCTGCTGATGTGACTGCTGAGGCCTGCTGATGTGACTGCTGGGGCCTGCTGATGTGACTGCTGGGGCCAGTTGATGTGACTGCTGGGGCCTGCTGATGTGACTGCTGGGGCCTGTTGATGTAACTGCTGACGCTGCTGATGTGACTGCTGGGGCCAGTTGGTGTGACTTCAAAGTCTACGCGCGTTAGCAAATTAATAGACTAAAAAAAATTGCATAAACTGCACTCATTTTATTGGAACTAATCATGAGTGACAGTAAATCATCCGGTTTTGGCAAATACGTCATAAAAAAATAGTTTTTCCTGTGTTGCAACAATAATAAGCGATGCATATGTGGCATGACTTAGAAGTTACGTTTTACAGTCAAATCATAGCTCGAACAATAAGAAAAACAAAATTAAATCATACAAAAATCAATCGACCCAAAGTCGAACGATCTAAAATGTGTTCCTCTTATTTATCTCCCCCCAAAAAAAATCCCAAAAAAAATACCATATCAGAAACAAATTTAATGTGAGAACATAGCGTTCAGAATGAACATGTACCACCAAAACATGAACATGTACCAAACATGAACACGTACCAAAACATGAAAATGTACCAAAACATGAACATGTACCAGAACATGAACATGTACCACCAAAACATGAACATGTACCGTACCAAACATGAACATGTACCAAAACGTAAACATGTATCAAAACATGAACCTGTACCACACATGAACATGTACCAAAACATGAGCAGGTACCAAAACATGAACATGTACCAAAACATGAACATGTACCAAAACATGAACATGTACCAAAACATGAACATGTACCAAAACATGAACATATACCAAAACAGGAACATGTACCATAATTTAAACATGTATCAAAACTTGAACATGTACCAAAACATGAACATATACAAAAATATGAACATGTACCACTAAGTTAGCAGCTACTCCTGAGTTAACTTATTCCTAACGGGCGTTCTGAACGGCATTCGCAGGACTGCTGGCGAGCTCGGCAGCGGCGACAGCGACTTCGGATTGCCATAAGAATTACGTAAATGGAGAATTTTTTTCTTGATCTCTTGCGATTTCAGCTGCGCTGGTGAATTCTCGGTCCCGACATCAGTGTTGCTATCAGATGACTTATAAAGATAAAGAGAACTTTGCTTAGCTTCGCCGAAAACGTTCACGGACTTCCCAGTCGCCATATTTTCAGCATGAGCAACTGATGCAGTTTTCTTACTAGAACCTCCTCTAACGAGTGAACTTTTTTTCTGCATTGCAAGCACATTGCTTACATTTTCTTCAGTAAGAGCTTTCCGCTGAGAAGAATCAATAATTTTTAATTTTGCTGAATCGATATCAGGATTTACCATTTTCATAGAGTTTGGTAGCGAAGACGTTTTCCTCTCTTCATCACTATTACCATGATACTTCGGTTGTACTTTATTTCTAACAAGCAGCGAACTGTCCTGGGACAAAGAAGTGTTACCAGCTATGCGAACTGAGGCGTCAGAATGACATTCGCCTGGCATTTCGTCGCTTATAACTACATCCACACGGTCACTGCACGCAATATTCTTTTTATCTTCCGCAAAATTGTCGCGGTGAAGCAAAACTGCATTGGATACCGAATTGCGGGACTCTGAATTCACATCAGTATTAGTTGAAACGCGTAACAGATCATGGTCGTTGGATTCTGTGAGTTTTTCGATTGTACCAGACCCAGTGATGGTCTGGGGTAGACCGATGCAATTCGTGGTATCTTGAGGAAACGGCAGAACTTTATTGTGTGATTCGATGGCACACTGAGGCAAGGAATCCATACCATTCATGTCCTGAATATATGCAAGATTATTCACCTGCGGGGATAAAATGGATTCAAAATTATTAACTTCGCACTGATACGTATAGAAGTCAACTCCGGGCACTTCATTTGACGTTATTATTAATATAATAATATAGAACCATTTGGGATATGAATCTCATGAATAATTAGTTAACGTTTGCATTAATTTTACTAGTACCATATTATAAATGCAGATATTAGGTTATTATATGTAGAATAATACAGAACGATTGAGGGTAAATTAATTAATAAGGGTAAATCATTAATAATTAGATTAGCTTACTTTTTGACGTTTGCAGTCCGTTTCGAGTTGCGGCGAAATTTTCCGCTTGTCTGCTACAGAATCTCTCGCATTGCTAGAAGAAGACGAATTTTCTGTTGCCATAATTGGGACAGTTGATGTTACTCCTGAGTTTTCAGTTTCCAAATTCCAGTCATCTTTTAAAAACTCTTCGGCAATTTCTGAGAACTGAGTGTCGAGAATAGCCTGCTCCTCATCAGTCAGAGTCCCTACGGGCGCGGGATGAGCGATATCACTTCCGTCCATTTGACTCGAAGTTCTCTTAGGAACAGGATAGAATACTTGTTTAGGTGTTCTATTACAATTTGTGTAATAGGACTCGGGTTCAGGTAATTTAGAGCTGACTCCTTTGATTCGCATTGGATCTACTTTATGTTTAATAAATTCCTTCTTGGAAGATTTTCCGGCAGTAGGCGTTTGGAAATTGGTTGAGCTAAGTAATTTATCAGTTTTTTTCATAATTTCTGGGGGTTTTTGCTCAGAGTTGGTCTCATCGAGGTTTTGCCATAGCATCTTGGCAGCTTGTACGGCTTTCTCACTCACGGAAACTGCCGAGCCAGCAGCTGTCTTGAAACCTTCGAATTTTAAATTAGCCATATTTGATGGACTTTTATGGAGTGCAAGATCAAGCTGATCGCATTCACGCGGCTGACATACCGCACTTTTCAACCTCTTCTCAGGAACTGACTGTGAAGAAGCTTTATCAAGGAAACTATTATTCTGAACCGAGTCCATATTAAAGCCTATTTTGTCTGTTGTAGATGCTTCAGTGGATGAAGAACAGTCATTCCACATGCGTTTAGCTTTTTCTAGCGCTCGTGCCGACGTTTGCACACTCTTGCCCCTCGCAGTTCTAAACCCAATGCAAGAAGTCCCTGATGAAGAAACGATTTCTTCGCTGGAATGAAATGTCTTCGCAAGGTTGGTTTGCGACTCGTGTTCAGTCACATTCTTCGTTACTTCGATCGTACTAGAAGACGCTGGAACTATAGGTAGGTTACGTTCATCAAAAATTCGATCACCTTCAACTTTGTTGTCAGTGCATTCATTCCACATTCTCACTGCTTTTTGAATAGCTGATTTGTTTACCTTTACTGTTAATCCAGAAGCTGTCTTGAATCCGACGGAATTATCAAGAAGTGCGGTTTGTAATTTATCGGCAGATGCAGTTTCCAAACAATTTTCGCGAACTGAAGGACTCACTGGAATTCTATTATTGACGCGAATATTTTTCATGTCTCGTGTTGATATTTCCGGAACAACGGCCTCATTTTCATTTACTGATTTGTGAGCAATTTGGGTATAACGTTCAGAAGCTTTATTTCCAACCATATTGATTTGAAGATCATTAATTTCATGCGACGATTGATTAGCAGCAAAAGATGCGTCTTTCCCAGAAATATTGTGCGATCCCGTAGGTACGTAGAACGATGCCGAGGAATCAAGCAGTTCTGTTTTTTCCAAGACTGAAGTTTGTTCAGGTTGCGGTATGTCACGCCAGAGACGTGATGCCTGAGCTACTGCCTCCTCACTCACGTGAACAGCAACGCCACGACCGGTGTGGAAAACCGAACAGGATGGTTTAATGGTGCGAGCTGGTGATGGTTCATGATGAGATTTATCAGAATCATAAGTAACGTTATTATTCGGTTGTTTATTTAATGCACAAGCGTTATTGCTTGGAAGGTTAGATTTTTTCATTTCATTTGAAGGAGTGGCAGTTATTTTTATATCATCGGGTGGCTGAATCAGGTCGTCGAACTCAACATCGCAGTTTCGTAAAATGTCGTCAACCTCGGCAAGCTCTTCAGAGTTCATGTAACTACGAGAACCAATTTTAGGTAATTTCGACTGAGACTCATTCTTTTGAGAAGCATTCTTGAGCATTTTCGGCTCATTTCTTTGACTTATGACCGGCGGAGTCAAATCTGCAACTCTGTCATCCTTTCGAGTAATGCTACTTGTAACGCAATTAGACACGTTTTCATTCTCAACTGATTTATATATATCTTTTGCACAGTTTTTAGATCCACCTGTCACGGTTTTCTCATCAATTTGCGTTTTCTTTTCAACAGATGGAACAACTATAGTAACATCAGACTCGATCAGACTACAGCCAAAAACCTCTTCGTGTAGAGAATCAGTTTTCTCGAGATTCTTGACGCGGCAATATGTTTCAGCAACAGGTGAGGGGTAAACGAAGCTGCGCTGAGGTGTAATTATTCTCTTGAGCATCTCGAGGTTGAGGGCCCCGCGAGCAGACAGCGATGGTGTGGCAGGAAGCTTGCGTTGCATGCCAGCAGCGCCTACTGATGAAGGAGTCACTAATACTTCAGTGGAGCTGTCAGCCTGAGGATCCATAACTGACTGCTTGTCATGACTCCTGTAAGCAGGCTCATTCACATGTTCATTTCTTATAGGAGTCATCAAAGCTTTTTTTTGTGAGTTAGATATCAATAAAATGTTCTTTTCTGAGTCTAGTTTTTGATTTCCAGATGCTTCATCAACTGCGTTGTCTGGTTTATGAACAGGACTCTTTTCTACTAGAATTAAGTTGCAAGTGTTCTGAATAGTATCTGATACCCCATTCGTATTGAGAACATTTTGTTCAACACAGAAATTGTTACGAGATATCTTTACAGGAAAGCATAGTAAATCAATAGGTTTAGGTTCGTCTGACGCACGATCCCAGGGTCTGAGCCGCTCAGCATAAGTAGCATCTCTATGGCTTGTTTCTTCACACTGAGTCAACTTGTCAAGATCGTTCAAGGGCTTTGTTGAACTGACTTGACTTTGAGGCTCTCGTTGAGCTTCTTCAACATGGACGGAATATTTCTTGGAGTCTTTACTAGCATAGATTTCGTTTTCGGCGGCTTTTTCCAATCGGTTTGCAAAATTTGTATCCTCCTTCCCTGGTGGGTTGAGGTTAAATCGAAGATTTGATTCAAGGGAGGGAGTACTGGTACTGAATGGTGCTCTGCGCACGCGATTCAAGGGGGTCCGTGAAGCAATAGTAGGAGACTTATTAAGTTCAGAAAGATCTAGGGGAACCTTTGGTAAATTAACCTCACATGGGCGCGGATCAGAAGATTTTTTGGCGCTCTCAGTAACTGCACGACAGCAAAGGTCAACATAGTTCGTTTCGGCGTCATCGTGGGACGAAGATATCAACGGCAGCTCGTTGCTCTTTCCAAAATAACGCTTTGAAGATTCGTTTACTGAATCGCAATTTTCAGTTGGAGTCCCGGAAACAGAGTCTTGGGATGCTTGCGGAGAACTCTGAAGAGATGTTTCAGAATTTTGCGATGAACCGTCCTCCTTGCTGAATAGAGACCGAGCAAGAATCTGTGAAAAAATAAATGCTTGAATACTTAAACACTTTCAGATAATCACAAGGTAATAGTAAAAGCAAAAACATTAGACACAGTGATTTCATTTACATTATTTTCTGATTTAGAACCGAGAGATCCTCTCACCGTACACCAGCAGACAATAAATATTTTTTGATGAAATCAGGCAATCATTTACCTTCACAGTAGCCTTCTTAGATCGTCGTCGAAGTTTTGGAGATACGGAGTCGAACACATGCAGATTGGCGTCAGTATTCTCGTCATCAGTGTGTAGCCTAACACTCATATCAGCATCAGATATAAACGATCCACCATTTTCAATCATAGAAATATTTTTGTTTCGCAGTGAAGAGGTTTCACATTGTACATAAGGGTCTTTACACTTAAGTTCTAAGTTGTAAGTACTTCCATGCATTGTGGGTACCCCTTCAATACGAGGCTTATCACGTTCCAAGCTGGAAGACATTTCAAGGAGCAAAGTTCTCTGGCCCGTTTTGCAGTAACATTCGTCAGAGATACAGGCTTTACACTGTGTCGAAACATTTTTTTGACAGGGCATTGGACTTGTAAATGCATCACTTTGGAGATTATTAGCATGATTTTTATCTTGATTATGAGGATTTATCTCATAATTTTGACGCGCATAGAGTGCATCGGTACAAGCAACAACCGAGGCATTACAAGGTTCTGGAAGAGATACATTACTGTTAGTTTTCAACGAAGTTTTACGACGAGGAGTTTCTAGAGCACTTGTCCACACAAAACTGTTGCTGGTGGAGTCAGCTCCAAGCTGCACTTTTAAACCTTGTGTTGTGCTGTTGATGAAAAAAAAAAATTAATCAATCTTTTAAAATAACATGATCAGAGAGTAAAATTTTTATGTCAGCAATGTTATTAAATTCTTTGAAGATAGAAAAAATTGGAATATTGCAAGTAAGATTTCAACAATAGTGTGGTACGGTATCACAAATATGAAGAAGGTAATACTATAACTTAACACTAGTGGCTTGCCTGGAATTGATAGAAGTACTGGGGCTCAACACATTAGTTTCCTCTTTGAAGCAAAAATCAGAAGACTCTGCAAATGGAGCAAACATTTTAATACATGGATCATGAGTCAGATATTAAAGTGCATTCATGTAGTATATTAAGTTATTATCATTCCATATATTTCATCATGTATTATTGTATTTTTTCACATGAATTCATTAGGTTTAATATATATAGGTAGGTATATTTATATATAAATATATTACAACATGTACATGGATACAAATGTAAACCTGTTGGATGAGAGACTGACTGTTTACCTCTATGGTAAGAACAGTTCCGTGATCTATCACTTGGATGGTTACCAGCTGCACTGCAGCCACAGACAGTTGAGCTGTAGATGCAATCTTGAAGAGAAGACAGTGAACAGTTCAAACTGTGCTGATGGCTGCAGGCAGTTGTATTGTGATGACTCACATCCTTGTTGGTTGTGGCAAGGGCTCTGGTTCGCAGAAGGCAAAGCCAATCTCCACAAGTAGATTTTTGGCGTGAAGACATGATTTGACACTGAGAATAAGATGAGGACAAACTAACACAATAAGACACTGAGTGTTATGGTCTTTTAGAGTCACAATGCCTACCTGTAAAATGGTTGGAGAGTTCAAGGTTAGATAAAATGTGTTCATACCATATGGACAATCCTGATAATTTAAAAATTTCGAATAGATAGCTCAGCAATGCCAACTAGAAAAACATTATAAAAACTATCCCTTAACGTGTATAATAACTACACTTTTTCTATGATGTTTATAAATACTTGCCAAAGTATAAATTGGCTAACCTTGAAAACATTCAAAAAACACCACAGAAGGCATATAATTATTTTGTTAAGGCTGCATTTAGCTCGCCTCAAATATTAATTTAATCAACACATTTTTCATTATTGTCAACTAGGTATTATGAGGTACATTTATACCTACACTTAGCAAAGTACCTTCAAATCAAAGATATGTAGGTGTGCATGTACATTCTGCAGATACTGCTTTCAACTTGCTTCTTGTCAACATGAAACAAAATACTTGCCAGAACTACATCTAACTAAAATTTTCTCTATCAATTGATTACCACATACATGAAACTTATGAAGCTCTTTTGGTATTTTTAAAAACAATATTAGAATTTGTCTACTCATTACTGAAATTTTGCAGCTTGAGAGTGACAAATGTTTATTAAATCTGGAACATTGCCCCAATCATGCAATTTTGTGATCAACTTGACTGGAGGTGATTCATCTAGCAGGAATTTTACAGCTCCAAAAATGGGTAAAATGCTAATGTCAAAATTGAAAAAATCAAATTTTTCAACAAATATGACAGCTCCATTAGGGCAAAAGGCACCTGTAAAGGAGATCAAAATGCCATGCTTGCAGCCAATTTCAACCAGTTTTATCACAAATGCTAGATTTTTCCTTAAAAATTATGCAAACAATAAGTTTTTGCCTCTAATTTTTAAAACTCTGCTTTTAAGCAATAGTTTTTACCTGCAATTTTTGGCAAATTTTGTCCCAAAATACCATCAAATGGGGTAATAAGGGATGGTTTTGAGCATTTTGTGTTAATAACTTCATGTCATGAAACATTTCATAAATAGTCTGGGCTCATTTTAAAAGCCACTGTGAGGGCTATCATATGGCAACTTTAAGGGGAGCGTCTCCCGAAAAATCGAAAATTTTCACTTTTTGGGGTTTTACACTCATTTTAAAGCTTAGAAAATTACGCTTCTAACGAGACTAAACTTGTCTCTCTACGTCGTCTGGTTCTCGTACACCAGCCAACAGAAGCAAGCCGGTACCGCAAGCTCAGTGCATCGACAGCGGTCGTGAGAGAAGTAGTGTGTTTATCAGTGCGCCTCTAAAACCCGACGTCGTGACCGCTATAGCTGCCTGTGGATCTTTCCTAAGATGCCTAAAGTGAAGAAAAGTAATAGGCAAGGACGTATTTAATGCTAATTAAATACCGAGCCAGGGATCCAGAGCCAGGCACTGGATAAATTTCAATACATTTTGTTATTTAATATATTATATTTTTTTCTTTCCTTTTTTCGAAGTACAATTTCTTCTCATAGTTTTCAAGCTACAGCAATGAAACTTATACCATTGGATGCGCAAGAAAAAGATCTAGAGAATGATTTTTTTCGAAAAAATCACATGAACAAAAATGTCTTAGAATTCTGTTTTACATATGTGTACCAAATTTCAGATTGATCCCTCTGTAAATTACTGAGATACATTTTTAGGGAGACGCTCCCCTTAAAAAAATTCCATATGTTAATAGTAAGGTGCCAGACACAAAATAAAAGCATCCCAAATTACCCCAGGCAACAGGGTAGTCTGGGACACTTGAAATAAAACTGAATTTTAATGTTTGAAGCAAGAGAATTCACTCTAACAAGAAGAGATCATGAAAAACATACTTGAAACAGAAATATTTTAGTGATAATAATCATATTTTTGGGAGAAATAAATCATAGTTAAGGTTAATTACTTTTCACTCTATGTTGCCCAGTGCACAATTCTATCAATGAGTCACTATGACATTCTATGCACAATTTTATGATGCTCAACGTCCATTGTCCAAGTCACCAATGATGCACTCCAGTGTGCAGAGGGTGCAAGCAGCACCGCCAAGACATGGTTTTTCAGCCAAAAGCGTTGCCCGCCATTTTCAAGATCCGTCACCGGGTAATTTTTAATAAGTGCTGCAAGCAAATTTGATAGTATATCTTTTATTATCCACGCACCAGAACACTTACACACAACGCAACTCATTTCCGGACAAGCTTCACTGCATCCTGATCCTTCTGGCATACCAAAAACCTTACTGTGTACGCTTGCAGTCCTTCAGATTACCAGTAATTTCAAAGTTATTTCTCATATGCAATAGTTGCAATCCAAATGTGTCGGCAAGATCTTCAGAAGGCGTAAATTTTGCCACCAAGCCAATGTGTTGCCAAAGAACTTGCGATATTCACCCACTTTCTGCACAGTGGATGCACTAGGTAATTTTTTGTTAAGTGAATTTTTTTTTGCTGAGCCTGAGTGACGGAAAATGGTAAATGTAATCAAAATTTTCTGGTGTCAATTGATTTTTTATTTTTTTAACTGGAGCTTTTGCTATTGCTGGTCAATGTTCTACTGTAAATGAATTATTAGGGGTGTCAGGTGTCCTTTAATACCCTTGGAGTTTGGACCTTGGAGGGTGTCCCTTATTTATTACCTTGTCTTGCTGAAATGGCTGCCATTTTTTCTTGGAATCAATGGAATGAGATACGCAAAATGTTGCAAATTCTGTTAATCACATTTGTAAGCCTGGACTAAGCCAATACCTATGTGTAACTTTTATACAAGTAAAATTTTTTAATTTCATTTTAATACTTCTTTTGCTACAGACTTTAGCAGAGGTACTTTTCCAAAATCTCACTGTTCCCACTCTTTTTAGGGACTTTTAGAGATAGTTAATATATAATTTCTTTCTTACTTGCTTTATGCAATACCGTAAAATGGGGTAACTTAGACCACTTTTTTTTATAAATGATGCCCTTTTTTTTACTAGCTAAATTAAACTTGAATTGAAACATACAAAATACAGGTCAATACTCTAGCTTTACTCACCATAAATTGCTGGCTCCTGCCTCCCATAGTCTTTATGTAATTTAAAAAAAGTGATGGTCTTTGTTACCCCAGCTCTTGGGGTAACTTAGACCGGGTGGTAAAATCAATTATTTTTTTTGTAAAATAACTCCAGGTTTTGGTGCATTGTAGTAGAACTCTTCTAGTTACATATGCAAATGACAAACTTGAGGAAAGTGTCATAGTTTGCAAATGGGGGGCGCTAAAAAAACGAAAAGTGGTCTAAGTTACCCCGCCGGTCTAAGTTACCCCATTTTACGGTAACCGAGTTAGTCTGAGTATACTCAGGCGGCCAGGCCTCGGCTTATTCAGCTATAAGGCTAAAGGCTACAGCAGTACCACTGCGCAGAGAGTGGATGAATATTTCAAGATGTTGTTGTTGTAATTGCCCATCCTGGTAGTGGCAACTAGGTAAGGGAGGGGGTGATCTTTCACCCCCTCAAGATCTTTGGCGACGCTTCACTAGCAAAATTTATGCCTTCAGAAGATCTTGCCGACACATTTAGATTTAAATTCTTGCATTTAATATATTTGTCGGTCTTCGGCCAACTATTTAGAAAAAAAGTAAGGTTTCCGCCATTGTATATCACCGTATATGGCTTCTATGTAAATGTAATAGCGCAAGTCAGTTAGTCTGCAATAGGTTACAAAATGTTTTACAAGCAAAGTAAATTATCAAATGCAAGCTTTTCTATGAAATTCTATCAAGTATCATCATGCGACCTGCGGGTGAGTGCGGGAGCGCGGTGCGTGCCGCCATTGGCATTAGCCCGTTATTGCCACCTCCCGGCTCAGGACGGCTCCCACGGTCCCACCTCCCAGGCGGTAGGCCGATGCCCAGGCCCAGCCTGTCCTGAGTGTCCTCTGTGAGACTGTGACTCTGTCATGGGCGATTGGGTTTGGGCTCAACTCAAGTCTCAACCGCTCGTGGGTCTGCCCGTCTGGGTCATTGCAGATTTCCCGCAGATTTCAATTTTCAAGTTGACGCCAGTAAGAGGTTTATCCACAAGAAAGGAGACAAAAATACTCAGATATTTCAGAAAATCAACAGTTGCTGGAGTGTCACTTAAATTGCATTTCAATTAATTTAAATCAAAATTCACATTTTGGCTTACACAAAGTTAGGCTTACAAATTGAATTTTTTCTCCTTATTCTCAAAAAAATAATAGCGGTATGTCAATGTATGGGGTGATTTCAGAAAATGAGACTCCTTCAATGATTATGAATTTCATACTTGACTTAAAGTGAGAATTGGTCTTTCACGCCAAAACATAAAATAATTTGGTTTGTGAAAAATGCTAAAATGCTGTGTAAGCAAAGGTAGTAAGGTTCACAAAGTCCCATCAATCACACGCGCAAATGTGCAGCCAGTGCAGTTTCCGCAAAACATGGTTAGGGAACCTTGATCGCTCACTTTTTTTTATCGTTCAGTGGTCGGAAACTTGTTAAGATATTTGTTTTCGTTGTGCTCTTAGTGAACAACATATCCAGAAAGAACTATGTCGTTTTTCAGTAGGCCCATTTTAATAATAGTTGTAATGTTAGTTAACGATCCTTGCTATGGTGCTTGGCTCGTTATTTTGCTACTGATCAAATTACAATCTCAGACAGGAGTCTAGGTTAATTTCCGGTGGTGGATTGATCTCTCAATGGCTTACAATTTAGTAATTTACTTTCACTTAGTTTTGAAGCGTCCGAAAAACCACCTAAACTTGGTCCAAAAGTGAATGAGTATGTGAAAATTTACGTTAGGGGCTACTCACGCTAGTATCTAGCAAGCCAATGACATTTGTTATGTAATTTTCACAATATAAAAGTTGATACGAAGCGTAATATCCAAGTACACTGAGTGCTACTCTTTCACAATATGAACAAATACAACTGGCCACTCACCGCCATGAAGAATCGGCAACAGGCCATGGGCCTATTTCTTCAATGCCGACACTTCTATTTTATTCTATGAACCGTACTATCAAAAATATATCAGAGTTCGTAGCTCTGTCAGCCAATCACTGGTGGATTCTAAAGCTAAACCTGCCATTACTTAGGCCGCTGCGGGTACTAAGAACGCGAATATCATGTGTACTTAGAACGCGACGCGTACTTAAGCGGGTTTTGCTAGTATATAGATAGCCCCAGGAGCACCGACCTGCGATTGGCCGCAACTTGCTCATAGCCTCTGAAGCAGCCAATACTCCTGTACACGAGCAATATTTAGTGGCGGATAGGACAAGCCAGTTATAGTGGCAGACACAACTGGCCACATGTGGATGCAACTCTCAATAGCTCGTCTCCATCAATGGTTTATATTTCAGATTACGAAAATTGTTATAATAAGTGAATCATAAATTTAGAGCCTAATAATGGTAATACAAACAATAAAAACTGATAAATATGTTTTATTTAAGGATTACATTTATGAAGACTGAGTTGAAAACGCACCGCATAGCTCCAGTGGGTCTCGAGACCTCAAATTTTACTCTGACCGAATGATTTTATATTCTTTTCCGCAACAGCTAGGGTCATAATAGTACAACTGATGGCAGTACGTGTAAAATAGCAAAACAAATAGTACAACTAATTGCAATTTACAACAGATGGTAGTATTATATTACAACTGATTGTAAACAATATTACAACTGATTGTGGTATAACAGCACAACTGGTGGCAGTACGTGTAAAATAGTACAACTGATGGTAATACGAGTGAAATAATAGTACAAATAGTACAACTGATAGCAGTTTACAACTGATGGTAGTATGATATTACAACTGATTGTAGTATAACAGCACAACTGATGGTAGTATGATATTACAACTGATTGTAGTATAACAGCACAACTGATGGTAATGCGAGTAAAATAATGGTACAAATCTTACAACTGATAGCAGTTTACAACTGATGGCAGGATAATATTACAACTGATTGTAGTATAACAGCACAGCTGATGGTAATACGAGTAAAAAAATAATATAACTAATCACTGATACGAAAAATAAATTGTGTAAGCGAAAATAGTATCATAGTAAAAGTGATGGTACACGTCCACCTATAGTTCATATAATACAATATGATACAACAGAAGTCGCTCAATATCGAACTAGAAAACAATTGACGATCAATATAAAACTAGCGATTATATTGTTTGACATCAGCAAGGCTGAAATTAAAACTATAAACGGAACTGAAATATAATCTCATCTTTTGATATTTAAGATAGATTTATTTAAATTATAATATATTATGTAATATGCTCTATAATTTTGACTACTTGATATATAAATAAATTTACAATGTATTATAATGTAGATGTAAATACATTATACTCTCAATTTCTGGTGAGCTGCACTTATAAGATTGATTCCCTGATCAAAATGAAGTACGTAGCAGCAGGTGCAAGACCTCGAAATTCCAGCGAGGTCATAAACATTTAATATTCCTTTTGTAGTGCTAATAAAACAACGAAAATATGACCAAGTGCTTGGAAGAATGAGAAGCTCAATAATCTTTGGAATTTTTGAACTGCTGGTTATTTAGCCAGTGACCCAGTGCTTGGATGGAAGAGTGAGAAACTCAATAATCTTTGGAAGTCTTGAACTGCTGGTTTTTCCAGCGAGTTCATAAAACATTCAATATTCCTTTTGTAGTGCTGATAAAACAACTAAAATATGACCAAGTGCTAGGAAGAGTGAGAAGCTCAATAATCTTTAGAAGCCTTGAACTGCTGGTTATTTAGCCAGGATCCAAGCTGTTTAGTGAGGACTCCCAGCTTCTTGATGAGGTAGTCTGCCTGCACGATCTGCTGCTCTGTTGCCTGCAGCATCTGCAGCCTCGCCTCCTCCTGCCTCGCCGTGCGAGCCTCCACCTCCTGCACCAGTTGCCCGCACAGTCCCTCAACCTGTATGAAACATCTCGCTCCATTTATTTCTAATTAACTTATGAATCACAGGAGCTGTGTTGTTGGGTTGTTCAATAGCTGAGTTCTCCAACCCGGCTATAGACTAAGAATTTGTGAATCATTCATGACTATCTTAACACTATAAATACTGCAATGCGAGTACAAAATTTGAATATTTTATAGTTCAAAAGTTACCTAGACAATTAAAATAACACGACACAATAATGAATGATATATGATACACGACGCAATGGCGCTAGTCATTATGCCCATGTCAATGATATTGCGGATTATTGCCTTTAGTAAGGTTACTTTAGCAGCTTAGTAAGGTGCTATTACACGGGGAAAGTATTAGCCGATAGTGGTAGCGGCAAGCACTTTTTACTTCGAAATTTTGGGTAATTTATATTATTTTTTGACAAGATTTTGATACTTAAAAATATAAATTGCTAATTTTTCTTCAAATTCTTAGCCCGATATCAGAAGTTAAAAATACTAAGGTCACTGAGGACAACGAATGTTATATAGGAAAACAGCAACAGACGGTGGATGTGAGTCGCTCCTCCACGCAGGCCATGAGGTTCTCGCGCTTCTGGCGCAGCTCGTCGATGTTGTCGAGCACAGTGTGGGTGTCGTGCTCAAGGCGGGCGGTCGTGTGCTCGCTTGCTTCAGACCCAACCTGTCACACCCCAGGCAGAAATCATGCAATGTTTTCCTAAGGTAGATAATTAGCTCTGGCAGGCCTACTGATTAAGATCACTAAGGTTGGAGCAGCGAGTGAACGGATCAAAATCTGCAGAAAGTCATGCAAAATTCTTGTCAAAATCAGCAAGGCGATTAAGAATCGTCGATAGGCTAACACAGCCTTGTCATAAATGACAGTGACACCACTATATTATTTATGATATAAGCGTTATAGAATAACATTTATTTATGGAATAAAATTAAACATTTGAATAATTTTTATTTAATTTATAGAATAAAATACAATCCGCCTGGCTAGGCCCTAGCTAGGTGGCTTCTTTTGCTGTAAATGCGAGTCAATTGAATGCATGCACAGAGTCGTACACACGCACGTATCAATTGTTTTATGTAGTCAGAGCCTTTCGTTTCATTCTAAACAACGTATTCGTAGACATTTTGCACGCTTGTGCTACAACTACGTCAGAAGTTGTGACGTTGATGGTAATGTCTTTTATCGTTTAATGCTACGTAAAAAAATCGAAATGATAGGATCACCAGAATTAAAATTTTGATAACTTCGTATATGGTGAAACACGCGCACAAATTATACCAATAATTACCGCGATCTCAAGTGTAGAAGTTGCGGAAAATAAAACTTTAAAATATTCCAGATACAATAGAACGAATAGATCATGCAGCCATAAGAAACTAGCAAATTGAATGGTTTCACATTATTTATTAATTTGCATTCATAATTCTAACATTATAATTCAAATAACTTTAATTTAATATACTATCCGCCAACGTGCATTTACTATGATTTAGGTAGTTTTGCAACTTCTGCAGCATTTTTGGATTAGCCGTGTTTAAGCCGGTGCTTATAATTGTAATTATATCATCCACAAAACAAGCCCATTTAGTAAGCAAATTTACTCACCACAATTGCCCCGAAGTTTGCCGGGTCAGCATGAAACTGCGAGAGCCCATGGATGTCAGCCAGTAGTGCTGACCGTGCCTCAGTCAGCTTGGCGGTAGTTTCCTTGCCAGAGGAGAGTTCGCCGTCGATGGCGCTGAGAAGTTCCTGCAACTCAGCGTTGCGCGTAGCCACGAATTCTCCCAGGTCAGCGTTAAGCTGATTCAATGCTTTCGGCACCTGAAAACAGTGAAGTCTATGGTTAAACGTGAGTCTTTTGCATTCCAATTCACTGTGAATAAAACTGAGCTTGAACAATAATAACGAGGCAAATACTTTGAGAGAAATCGTTCAGAGACATTGATCAACTCAATAATTCCATTAGAATTCTCATCGTTAGTCTCAAATTTGATTCTGAGTCGACCGAGTACGGCTAAGGTGACGCTAAATTTGTGATTGATAAAACATTCGTAACGGTTGAGTAGAGATGGAGATCTATACTGTATGATGAACTATACTATAGATCTATATAGATGAAGTTGATGAACTATACTAGTATATACAGTATATAGATCTATACTGTATGATGGTGTATGAACAGTTTTTGAAAGTTGGCTATTCAGCTTGAACTGGTACGAACTTCGACTTATGCATCAACATGTATGAAAATTTCTTGTCTTCTCCACACACAATCAGACATATTCTTCAGATATATATACATCTGAGTTTGACTCTGACATCGGTAATTCAGACACATCGTCTAAATCACTTGGTGACTACGGTAGCTATACGGTATGCAAGACAGGCAGCTGCTACTGACGTGACATATAATTGAATATATAATCTAAGCATATGCTTTATTTTCATTCACAATTTAAACATCGAATTCAAAAATCATAATGGTTAACTTAATATCATTTTCATCTTCTTGGAGATCCGTTGTTACTTAAATTTAAATACAACAATAACTCACCAATCTCTCACGCAATTGTTGCGTCCATTTTTCAGCTAGAAGAATCCGCTCCTTCTTCAACGCTTCGAAGCTTTGGCGCATTTCTGACAATTTTGAGTGGAACGATCTTATTTGATCTTCAGGATCAATTGCTTCCATCATGAATAGATGTCTTAAAAAGAGTATCAAACGGACTAAGGTTTTCTTCCTCACAAACTGACAGCTTACTTCGTTCCCACGTTTCGCCGGCGAGTGAAACGATCTGTGTTCATCTGTGTGTCAATTGTCACGAGGCAGAGGAAAACATTTTTCCCTAAGTAATTCACGTGCTTAAAATGCTTCCCAGTCCGAAAATTTGCCTTATCTTGCAAAAAATTATTGTGTTCGGTTAAAAAAAAAACACCAGTTTCGCTTATGCCATGTTAATATCATTTTCATTGTAACATTTGATTATGATAAACACGACTTGTTCCCATTTATAAATTGAGTATTCGGTTTTAGAATTACCGATCAATTCACAGATTATGTAATACTAAATATTCGCTGACTCCCAATTAGCTTTACATTTATAAATTATAATTTGCACCAAATTTTAAACAAACCCTCAGCTTGTGTTTGTGCCGCGCGTAATTTTTAGATTTGGGCTTAATATCATTTACATTTATATGGATGATCGGGTGTGCATTACCAGCGATCCCGACTAAATAAATAAAATACATAACCATAGCACGAGCAAAATACTTTCGGTGTATGCATTACAAGTTTATCCAGTTGGCAGAAGTTTAAAAGATATTTAAAAAAAAAACTCCTTTAAAAGAATGGCTGAAATCATTCCACTAAACCATCCACGGAAATGTTAATGCGTGCGTATGGAGCTGAGACTTGAGAAAAGTCATATCTTAAAAAAATAAAGTCATTAAAGTCATATTTCTCACTTAAAAGCGTAGATTTGTTTCGGATTTTAATTTAGGTTCAGAAACCAGCAGAGGAAACGTGACAGATGTGTCATGGAGAGCCAACTTTTTATAAAAATTTGCACCAATTTACTTCTGCATGTAAATATTGTCAAAGTCATATCTTTTTAGGATTCAAATGCCAATTTTTATATAGTTGATCAATTAAAAACAAAAACTATTTACCCTAATCATAAATTAGTTGTAATAGCACTTCATGGTTTAACTCTAAAGGTGCTTGCTTGTACACGGAGATAGTGCAGACGGCGGGAACGCAGCCGTGCACCACAAATTTTGTACACAAATAAGCCCTGAATCGAACGCCTTGGATCTTTCCGGACATCCACCAATCAGCCGTGAATGGAATCTGCTATCCGTAACCGATCATTGACATCCTTCTGCTTTGAATATATTGAGCTCCACACCCCCCAGACACGAGGTCGAATAGCCTAGGGTCGAATGGCCGTCCACCACTGAACGTTGCGTCGAAGCATCACTGGTGTACAATTTTTTCGCGGTACGGCGGACGACGCTAGGCCATTCGATCGCCGGCTGTTTCTCCTGAGGGCTGATTGGTCTAATTCAATTGATTTGTTCTGTCTGGTGGCTTTCGGCTGCCTATATGATTTTCCAGAAGTGTTGAAGGCTACGTTCCGGAGGGCAGGAGTCATGATAGTCCATTACATCCAGGGCAGTGGTGGTCTTCGGCAGGCTTCCCAGGTGCCGCTATCGTAATATCGGTCGCACCCGCCAGTGCGTCGTTAGACGTTAGAAGCCGTAGAGTGAGGTGAGAAGATGGATAGTGAGATCACCTTCAACAACTCGAGTCTGTACGTCGTTTTTATACTCTTTATTCTAGCCCTTAAAAATGCAACATCGGGAACAACTAAACTCCGACTAATAAGGTCTTCTTTGAGTTTCAAAATACTCGTTTCGCTCTTCATTTTGTTGGAGTAACCATCATAGCAAACATTCCACTTTAATTAATATTTCAAAGAATTATTGAATATGATCTGAAATCAATTTGTTGGGTTCTTCTTAGAAAAATTATCGTTCAAACAAGCCATGATTAACTTGACCCAAGATACTTCACAAGAGCGGCGCAGATACTCTCACCATGGCTGAATCAGCGCTACTAGCCACTTCTCCAGCAAAGAAATCAACACGTCGTTGTCTCTCTCGGCCGCATCTCGGGCACTTGCCGCCAGTTGCCGGCGCATGCCTCTGAAGCGGCTGAACCCCTTTACACGAGGCTAGTAGCGTGGACAGTTTATGCGACGGATTAACTAGCGGCTAGTACTATCCCTGTGTACAGGCACCTTTTAGATTACTAACAGCTTTAAATCTGTTTGTAATGTGATAAATCATCCAATAAGGTAGGGGATAACTGGGAGCTTCTACGCAAATTGGATTCCATCTCCCTAACAGTTACATACTCTTCACAGCAACCGATCACAGCAGCGTGAGTTGTATCAACCATTCACAATGATAGTCGTTGCCGAATTTTGTCGCTAGTTGTATTTTGAAGGTTTGGATAAACAGGCTCCTTTTATTTCATTTCATTAGTCTCTACGACTCTGGTAATCAAAATCATTCCCAATAAATAAGAATTAATGCACAGACAGACTAACAACAAAATGAGTGGCAACCACAATGCAAGAAGGCCCAGGAACGTGAGACCAAGGTAGGCATCAAAAATTTCGAAATTTATAAAGTTTTTCATAAAACAGGACATCATTATTTATTTCAATCATTGTATCATGCATCAACCATTGGTAATAGCATTATAGCAAGATTACATCTGAATTTTAGTCAGCCTCTGTCAATACTGTTTTTATAAAATTATAGCTAATCATAACTCTGTTCACGTTCACTATAGCTATAAATCTCTGATTACCTAACTACCTACCTACTACCGTAAAGTGGGGTAACTTTGACCCCTTTTTTATTTCGAAACAATGCCATTTTTTTACTAGATAAGTTAAACTTAAATTGAAACGTGCAAAATACAGGTCTATACTCTAGCAGCCTAGCTTTACTCACCATAAATTGCAGGCTGAGGCTCCTGCCTCTCATAGTTTTGATGTAATTTTAAAAAAAGTGATGGTCTTTGTTACCCCAGCTCTTGGGGTTTCTCTGACCGGGTGGTAAAATCAATTTTATTTTTTTGGTAAAATAACTCCAAATAACTCCAGCCTCCAGGTTGTGGTGCATTGTAGTACCTAGTACTCTTCTAGTTACATATGCAAAAGACAGATTTTAGGAAAGTGTCATAGTTTGCAAATGGGGGGCGCCGCCCTCCAATGGGCGAAATGTGACCACCTAATGGCAGCCGTGATGGGGTAACATTGACTGGTTTGGAAATTAAGTTAAAATTACCATATATAAGACTCTGTAGAGTCTGAAACATAAAGAAAAAAACATTAATAGTTGTATCAAACATAAAATACCGTATGTTATATAGGTACCTATGGTAATTTTAACTTAATTTCCAAGCCAGTCAATGTTACCCCATCACGGCTGCCATTAGGTGGTCAAAGTTACCCCATTGTGGGGCGGCGCCCACCATTTGCAAACTATGACTTTTCTCAAATTTGTCTTTTGCATATGTAACTAGAAGAGTTCTACTACAATGCATCTAAACCTGGAGTTATTTTACCAAAAAATAAAAAAATTGGAGGGGGTACTCCGACAGGCTTTAAATAATAGCTCTTTTTCGTGGGTCACATTTTTAATTTTTCAACCTATTAGATATGCAAACTTTTCAAATCTTTCTAATGTGTTACATAGCCTCAATAATAGGCCTTTAATGCCCATTAACAAAATTTTTCTATGTCAAATAGTTTTTGAGTTTTGGGGGTTTTTGTTAAAAAAACCGAAAGTGGTCAAAGTTACCCCGGGAGACAAAGTTACCCCAGTTTACGGTACCTAGCTACTAATGGGCCAATGGCAGTAATGACTATTGCCTAGGGGCTGGGCTAGGGCTCTAGGCTGGATTTTTGATTTGCTATTTGATTTTGCCAATTGCCTATTATGTTTATTTGATATTTGCCTATTTGACTTTGCTGCCATTAAAAATTTTATAGGTTAGGGTAAACGCGGTATATTCTGACACTTTAAGGACGTAGCAAAAAATGAATGGCTAAAAAATACACGGTGTATTTTTTAGCCATTCATTTTTTCACACAACTGGAGTTGTGCATATGGTGTTTTATACACCGTATGCACTATGCACAACTCGAGTTCTGTTTGCTTTACGTCACTCTCAAAATGCCGCACTACTCAACAAATGCATGAAACTCAGAAAAATCTTAATATTAAGGATAAATGTCAAGAAGTGTCAGAATTACCCACGATGTCGGAATATACCGCGTTTACCTTAAACGCACCATATTCCAACGCTCTGGGTAATTCCAACACCCCTCAACTTTTTCCTTTTAAGCTTGGTCTTAGTTCCACGAATGCGTAGATGGTTGAAATAGTGACATCATACTATTGCGCACAAGGATTCTGCACAACACTAAGTCTAGCAGGAAAATGTTAAGATCTGCAGAGCAAAAGTCCAAGTCAACTAGGGTAAACGCGGTATATTCCGACACATTAAGGACGTAGCAAAAAATGAATGGCTATAAAAAATCACCGTATGTGCAACTAGAGTTCTATTTGCTTTACGTCACTCTCAAAACACCGCACTATGCGCCAGTAACAATGAAACATCACAAAATGTTGCCATATTTATTTAAAAGCCTTTAGAATGCAAACCTACCAAATCCATATATTCCGATGCTGTGTGTGACTAAATTTGGCATTTTGTGAGACTCATTTCAGCCACGCTTCAAACTCTACTAATTCGTAATTTCAACACTCTTGTGTTCAAATTCTGATCGCTGTGTGAGCTGTACTGGAATCTACTTTATTAGGCTTTTAATTAAGAGCTATTAAGCTTTTAATAAAGAAAATTTTAATTTTTGCACACAGCTCGGAAGGAGCTCTGTGTGTCTAATTCCAAGCTATGTCGGAATTAGTTTTTACGTGTCTAAAACCATCTCTTAACCTAATCATCTATTAATTTATTTACCACTTGAAATCAGCAAATACAAGTATACTTGAGGATTCCTAATATATTCACAGACTTTAAAAGTCTCAAACCATAATATTCTTTCTACACAAAGAGTTTATCACTATTTGGTGGAGCAAGGTCAACTATCAACTTTGACGCATTTTTCGATGTTCTCACTGAGTGATGCGCACTGCCTCTCTTTGGATCTCAACATTTTCCCGCCAGATGGCCCAGACCTAGTGTTTGGCAATAGTATGGCACGCAATAGTATGACGTCGTGCTATTTCAACCATCAACAAATGCGTGGAACTAAGACACAGCTTAATATAAAGGAAAAAAGTTGAGAAGTGTCGGAATTACCCACAATGTTGGAATATACAGTGTTTACCCTAGGTAGTGAGAACATTGAAACCTGTATGAAAGTTGATAATTGACCTTGCTTTACTAAATAGTGATAAACTGTTTGTGTAGAAAGAATATTATGGTTTGAGACTTTTAAATAAGTCTGTGAATGTATTAGGAATCCTTTAAGTATACTTGTATTTGCTGATTTTAAGTGATAAATGAATTAATAGATGATTGATTTAAGAGACGGTTTTAGACATATAAAAACGAATTCCTTATAAGCAAAGAAAACTCGACCAAAATTTATAGTATCTTTAAAGAAAACATTTCGGAGTCCAGATCAATCATCAGTTTGAAAATTCTAGAACACAGATAAATTAGTAATTAGTACAGTCAATATTATGACAAAAAACCTAAGCTGTAAAACCTACCTAGTTACAATTTAAAGCGGGTAAGATTCTAGTGTACAAAGATTCTAAAATACGCAAATCAGAAACACCAGAACTGGAAGCTAAAACTTTGAAGTCACTGTCAGAAACTGGAACATTGCACTGCTCGGCATGAGCCCGCGCAGCCAAATGAGGTGGACATGACAGTAAGTTACCAGTTCTACAACACCTGCCCCTATGTTCTGCGACCCTAGAATAAAGATTGCAAGACGTCATCCTGACGTACGCAGATGCACATTGTGCACAACTTTATTTATCAACTTGGGATGATCGCATATGCATAGGGAGAGTATCTTTGAACCTAAAAAAAGAACTGATTTTAAAATGGTTGACCAATATGACACGAAGATTAACATTTGTGAAATACTTCGAAAACAAAAGTTTTAACTCCCTTGACATAGCTTCGGATGCAGGGCTGAAATATGGAAAGGAGCAATAAACAACATCCCTACCGTTGCGCTCGGGAGCAACCTCATTGTACTGCTTAGACATGAATTTCTTTATTTGTGTAAATACCACAAATACATATTTATAAAGTAGTCTCTTAATTATACCAATATATTTGCTCACATTAGACTGAACTGATCTTGTGGAATCCTTTTCAAGTAATATTTAGCATCAAAATTGTACATTACTCACACATTAAACATCTTAACCTGGATCCTTAAATAAATTTTATGTATAGATTTATATAATTTTGAAGTTTTTTGTTTTTATACGTACCTACTGAAAATTTTGTACTGATAAATATAATGGATTCCTAATGAATTTTCTAATTACAGGGATCGTAATTGGAGGGACTCAAGACAAAGTGGACTGCTTGGCAATGCACCACGTCATGTGCAGGGACGACCCCAGCCAGGGCTCCTTGGAGGAGCTCCCCGCAATCCTCCTGGTGGAGCCTTGCACAGACCCAGGTTAATTATCACAACTTCTCATGCTCTTAGGATTTTTAGTAGTTTTTTGCCTTATAAAATGAAGGAATATTGAAAGAATAATAAAAAAACTTAGAACCACTTAGGAAAAATTGCCAAAATTTCTAAGAATAGGCTAATATTCTCAGTCAATACAAGCTTAATTTTTATGGAATATTGTGTACATTATTTACTGACCCATGAAATTGTTTCTTTCTATTTGAAATATTTTGCTTTCTTAGAGCCAGATGATATCAACATCTGTGATGTATTTTCTCTTAATTTGAAGGCAGACCAAATGCCCATATATTGCTGTGGAATATTAATAACTATCTAATAATTTCAATTAATATTTAAATCATTTGACATGAGAATTAGAAAGAATTTTCTAGAGAATAATCTTTACCAAAAGCAAACTACTAACACGTTAGCCTGCAATGTGCACCATATTGGTTCACGGTGAACCTGAGTGTGTGATTAGGAATTTAAAAGCAAAAACAATACCACAAAAATTCACCATATCTTTATAAGAGAAAACGTTTCGGAGTCCATGTGTGATGTGTGATGTGTGAGGGTACATGCTTGTGTTGAATAAACATTTTTTTTTTAATTATACGGTATATCGGCTCCAAGTTTAAAATCTTTGTGATGAAACCTCTCAAGCCAGCTAAGAAATGCTGAAATTTTCACAAAATCCATGATTTGAAACTTTACAAGATACAAAATAAATACTGAAATTACTGTATGAAGAAAAACTGTGTCCTCAATTCATGTCTTTTATGTAGGTAATTATGCTGACTCAGATATGGTTGCACATAAACTAAATAAAAATTCAAACTTCATTTCCTTTGAAACAAATGTTTTGCACGATTTCTCTCTGGTATGAGACACTAATTTGAATGTGTTATTGTTGGAACATCTAAAAAAAATTAACCCACAAGAAGGTTTTCTTTGCAGTCATCACTGTACATTTTTATGTGACAAATTTCTTTCTTGCTACAGCACCTCCTCCATTTGTTGCTTGTATGTTGCAGCATTTGCAACAGCACTTTCTTGTTGCATATTTTGTTTCAAATGGTTTGACCCAAGTGCAATGCTATCTTAGCTTTTATCACCAGCAATTAAAAATTTTGTGCCTAATTTTACATTATGGGTGTGCTTCCCTGCAAAAAGAGTTCACGTACATTATTCTAAAAAATCTGTCATTGAAGCGGATTGACGAGAATAGAATTTGGATGTACACTATCCAAGCATTGGTAACTGATGAGTCAGTGAGCAGATCGACTGATGCTTTCTTGTACCATTTTATTCTTCACCCTGCAACTGTTTTGTACGATGTCTTCTGATCTGAAACATAAATGCCTTTCATTGCTCTGTTATAGTCAAGTGCACATTTTGGTGTCATGAGATACAAATTATTGCAATTTTTCTTGCCTTGTGTAACCAATGCACCAGCGTGCTCTGGAACAGTTGAAAGAATAATAACATGTCAGTTGCTGATGAATCTGGTCCTGCTGCTGCTATCTCGTATCAGGTCACAGTTGCTTTCACTGGAATCGTTGGAAGTATTCCAGTTTGGATTAACTGCTGGATATGCAATTAGTTGAAAGAATTTGACTTGGCAACTCTACCTGCAGTTTCTTTGCCGCTGTTTCCATAATATTTATGTAAATATATGATACTGAAAAAAATATTATCTATGCAAACAACAGTTAATGAAAAGAATACAACAAAAGAAAAACTGAAATCAATAGCTAATAAATGAAAAACTTACTTAATTGTAAAAAGAGTAAATTTTGGTAGTCCCGAATGGGACTATGTGATGGTGAGAAAAGCTGAGCTTATATAAATATCCATGGCGTATCATTTTACATTCACAGGAAGAATAAAAAATAAGGTTTAGAATATTCTCGCCGCGCGTCAAGAAGTGGCTTACAACGCCCGCAATAAAGACTGCAATCATTATGGGTGACGTGTATCTAATTTATCAACTCCTAATGATCCCACCCCAAGCCAGGAACCGGTACACATCGCCAACAATAAAAACTAGTGTAATTTTGGACGATGCTTACATAATATGACAACTTGTTTTTTCATGGTAAACGTACCACAAGAACTTTCTTCTGCAAAGCGACATGCAGCCCCTCACATTGATGTCTGCACTGGAACTGAAGATATACTAATTTGAAAGAGCTGCCTAAACGGAATGCATGCTGTTTGTGCAATCGCGGCCAACATGTTAAAGCATTTTATTTATGTAGATAATTTCAAATTATTAAAATTGTCACAGTTCTTTTTTTGATGGATGGAATTATCGTCTGGCAATTCTCCAATTTTGCTTTTGAAATGTTACTTCAATTTTTTTTCTCAATGATTGTCGTTTGAATCAAAATTCCAAAGCTAGTATTTTAACCTGTACTACTCTTAAGAAGTTTGATTAAATATAGTGCTTGTATTTGTAAAATGAAATGAATTTTCTTGTATTGCAGTCCATGGGAGTCTGGCATGACACCTGGCAATTGTGGCATGGGGATGGGTATGACTCATGGCCACGACCCGATGGCTTGGGGTGCTGGCAACCCTCTTCAGGCTCCCAGTCTGCTTGGCAATCCTGAAAGTTAGTTTATTTTTAAAGTAAATATAAACTGAATTTCAGTTTATAATTTCTCAAGTTATGCGTGATGAAGTAAACTTTATGTTCTTGAATAAAAAATATCAGGGCTTTTGAATATATTAGCTTCATTTGTAAAAAATTTGTGTCCAGTTATTTTATCAGTAACAATTGAGGTCTTAAGCAACTATTTAACGGGATTTGGATCCCTACTGTGTTTGTAGGCATGGAGACTCGTATCTCACTTTCAGAAAAAATCGCTTGGAGATGCTTCTTCAATGAATTAAGTTTCAAAAAAACTATGTTTAATTGTGTTCATTATTCAAGTCATGTTCACAGTGGTTAGGTTCTAGAAACTCGTGTTAGTTTGTTACAGGATGCGGGTTTCCTACGCCTTGATTTATCACCAGTGGTTTGGTTCTATATTCCTGTGTTAGGATGTCAAAGGAGTGTCAAGGTTCAAGATTATTAAAACATGTTTTCAGAATTCAAGACATTTCGATTGATTGGCAGTGGTTAGGATATCGAAATGGGTTAGAATATGTCGTTACAGATTTAAAAACATTTTAATTGATTGACAGTGGTAGGGATCTTGAAACGTGCAATACAACATTATTAATTTAAAGACATTTTGATTGATTGGCAGTGGTTAGTATCTTGAAACATGCAATACGTCATTACAGATTTAAAGACATTTTGATTGATAGGCGGTGGTTAGTATTTTGAAGCCTAGATAACATAGTTAAAGACTTCACAATTCTAATATGTTAATTGTTTTTCAGTGGTGCGAGGTGGTGGAGGGGGTGGCCCAGGCCTGCTGGGTGGGGCACCCCATGGCAGTGTCCTGGGCATCAACCAGCTGACGCGTCTCAACAACAACGACCCTAAGATGGCGCTCAACGTGCTTGGCGTGAGTCATCCACAAATACCCTGAGCATTTTCAAATTTCATTTCAAATACATTGGTCTCTATACATAGGCTATAATTTTTTTCAGGTTAATCACGGCATTCGTTCTGCCATTTGTCTCATCCACTAAAACATTTGTCCAGTCTTATTTAAAAATGCATTCATAGAATATTTAAAATTCATCCAGGTATATATTCTACTATTTTCCAATGAATTACGGCTGTGGATTTGCCTTATTTTTTTTCAAGATTAAATATATTCAACATTTCCAACATAGTTCACCATTTACCCAGTTGCATCCATTTTTCTAATACCATCATATTGGTATTGGAGGAATTTGAATGTTACGTAGCATAATCGTCAAAGGTTGCTGAGGGTCCTAATCCATCTTATCTCTACCTATTCATAAACTTTCACAATTCTTGTATTGTATGCTGATGGTTCCGCCGTTCACAATTTTGCCTTTGTACCTATGTATTTTTCTATTTACAATTCTTGTATAGTGTAAAGCATTTGTTTAATATCTGACTACAGCCGAACGCAACTCCTCATCCATACCGCGACCCCCCCAACATGATGAGGCCAATGGACCGAGGCAAAGTAAGTAGAGAACCTCTTGTGGCATTCACTTCGTCTATCATAGGTACAATGTACAGAGTGTCCCTCAAAAATGTCACTGATTTTTAATTGCTCATACCTCCAAATCAAATTAACATGATTTGATTGCTTTTTTTTTCTTGTGTGAGAAAATATATGTACATTGTTAAAAGAAAATAAAATTGAACTTGTTTGTTTCAAGTGGAGACAAAATCAATTAAAATTTCAGGGACATTTTTATGTGGGAATACCCGTATAGGCCTGTAGTCTATTGAAGTTAAGCTTAGTCCCCATCAGTCGTTTGCCGTGCAGTTTGTCGACAAATATTATTTTCAAACAAGCCAGGTCTCTTGTTGAAAAATTGACCGCTTCAGTACTTCTTTTAACATATTTCTTACAAGCTTTGTGTATGAGGCCACGTTTATTATGGGATTGAAACGTTTATGCACTAGATATTTTGCAGAGCTTCTAAATATATAATATAGGTAATAGTTTACCCGTACCTCATTTTATTAACTCTTGGTGGAATAGAGAACATGTAGATTGGTGTAGCACTCCATTTGGTCAGTTGACTAAATCCCAGGCATTGTCCTGCCAATTAGGGTAAAAAAATTTCAAAACACATTTCTCACCGGATTTTTATATCATATCAATTTATTGAGACAAGGAGCTATTTGGTACTAGTTCAGCGTTGTGCGTGCTGTCTATAAGGCAGCCATCGTACACTCGTTGACTTATTTTTGTCCGTATAGTTGCTTCATGATCATGGTTATGACCAATTCTTTTGGAGTTGAAGGAAGGTTGTCAGGTACTCCTCTACTAACATCTTATCACCTCTACTCAATATAAAAATAATCATTAACATAATTTTTTATCGCCTGTAATTTACCTTATAATAATGAAGGCCATGAAGAGCACTAGTTACCTGTTCCAACTTCCTGATGACAAGCTTCATTCTAACCGGTATTTCATTCTTGTAGGTTTGTGAGTTATTTCAGTGTGGATATCATTTTAATGATATGATGTTGTGGATAATACTGTGGATATTATAGGATGTACATTACTGTTGATATGATGTCTATTCATGCTTCATCACATCATATTTTCCGAGATTGTTCTGGATGATTATTCTGATACAAATCTTATTTGCGTTCACTTCATTTCACGATTGAACTAAAAAGTAAATCTCTATCATTTACTTGTTTTGCCTTTGATTTGCTCTCTAATTATGGAGAGAAGTGTTGTACATTTTTGTGCTCTAGATCCTGCCAATTTGTCTATCTCTCGGGTGCAATGTACAGGCATTTGGTCTACTGAGACTAGTTTTTCTCATCTTACATTGCTGGGGCAATTGGTAATTTTGTTCTCTTTTTGCGTCGGTTAGCTGCACCAAAAAAACTTCGTGAATCACAGACCCAGTCATGTTACACTACTGCAAGAGATTGATATTTACATTTTTTTTCTGATGTGCTTCGTTGGTCTTAAAGAATTATCATGTATTTAGTACCTCTAATGCTACCTCGTTGATCTAGGCTCTTCCTTCACTGTCCTTGTTGGTGGTAAGAAGAAGCAAATAATTCGGGGTCATCTTCAATGGATTTCCGTCAAAACTATGGATTCTTTACTGATAGCATTTCCGTTTTCTTCCAAAATTTCTGATGGAATTCAAAAGATATTTGCGTGAGAGCTTAGTGAAAACATGGCCTCTTGATGAGAGCTTATTCAGAACATGGCCTCTTTATGAGAGCTTATTCAGAACATGGCTTTTTGATGAGAGCTTATTCAGAACATGGCCTCTTTATGAGAGCTTATTCAGAACATGGCTTTTTGATGAGAGCTTATTCAGAACATGGCCTCTTGATGAGAGCTTATTCCAAACATGGCCTCTTGACATGGCGCACCACCACAGATGGCCCACAGCGGCCGGTACAACCGCTCAGTAGGCAGTGGCGGTGGTGGTGGTGGTGGTAACAGGAGCAGCAGTGATGGCTCTTCCCGCGACCTCAGAAAATGGCTCAAAGATAAGCGAGGTCTGAATGACGCGCGTCCTGCGCACCAGCAGTCCTCTTCCACAGCACCCAACTCTTCCCACTTTGGTGGTCAGCGCAGCAGTTCCTCCTCCGCTGCTAGTAGGAGGGACAGGCCTTCGGGCATTAGTAGGTAAGACCTACCTACGTTGCAACATGGTCGTGGGGTTGATGAACTCCTGGTAGTATATAAATGCTCTTTTCTTCCTCGTTTCATATAGAGAGCTGCTCACTTCCTCACCATTGCGACTTGTAGAGCTTTACTATCGGCTATAAATTTTAGGGTTATTCAATGGCTTCTTCTTATTCTTAGCTGGTCTTTCAAAAATTTTTGGTTGTGAAGCGATCTTGTGGATAGTTTGGGCCAATTTATGAATCCTGCTTATGGTGAGCAGTTTAGGGCTACTTGGTTAACTTCAAGGAGCTATGCTGTTGAATATTGTCAAATCTAGAATAATTTATTCAAGATATTTCCAAAGCCCACAATCTCTTTTTATTTTAGTTGACTCACCAACGCTAGGTGATTGCACTGACACTGCCAGAGATTGTGTGCTTTGTGGACTGCTAGGTGATTGCTTCGTGGACATTTTTGCAAGGAATGCACTGTGGACTGCTGTGTCGACTGCTTTAAAGTGCTTGTAGGCTCTCTAGACCTCGAAGGGAACATTATATCTGAACTTAATTTTTGGTTACTGCAGTATTTCAGCAGCAATATTGTCATCTTTTCCTTGCTCAAATGACTAGAAAGACCAGGAACAGATTTTTGTCTGTGTCCAATTGTGAAACTGCTTCTATGCACTTCTGTGTTGCTTAGACTAATGCCTGCACTGCTTGTGTCGCCGGTCTGACGTTTGTGCTGCAGGCCGTAATGCCTTATCTTTCTGGGTCCAGATTTAGCTCCACGTTCGGTCAGTTGAACCAAGGACATGTTTCCTTTACTTGTTTCATATTGAAGCCGCCCTTGGTGGCAAATTCGAGTTCCGTTCTGTTGCGGTTTCATAAAAAAATGAAACTTTTGATGCATCTTGCTTGTTTTTTTAACGACATTGCAGCTAGTTTTGATAGAGATATGGGCATCAGGATAATCTGGTGAATTATTTCGTCCAGCAAATTGATTCTCATTTGATGATGTAGAGTGAGAACTCCAACCAACCTGGAAGTAAAATTTGTGAACGCCAAAATATGAAGCACATTAGGCTGGCTTTTATGTGCTATGATCGCCACAGCTGATGTTATCATCCATGTTTCTCATCGGCATTTTATTAGTCAATTACTCAACAAAATATTATTTTTGATGTTTATGTAGTACTACTAATTTTTATTTCTTGCCTATGTTCTTCAGAAAACCTGCTCCAAAAGTCGTTGATGAAAAGGATGCTGAAGCTGAGGTGAGTTTGCTCTCTGTTGCACTTAATTTGTTTAAGTTATAGGCTTTGTTATAAGCTTGTCATGTGATTATAGGCTTTGTTATACACTTTGTCATGTGATTATAGGCTTTGTCATGTGATTATAGGCTTTGTTATAGGCTTTGTCATGTGATTATAGGCTTTGTTTTAGGCTTTGTCATGTGATTATAGGCTTTGTTATAGGCTTTGTCATGTGATTATAGGCTTTGTTATAGGCTTGGTCATGTGATTATAGGCTTTGTTATAGGCTTTGTCATGTGATTATAGGCTTTGTTATAGGCTTTGTCATGTGATTATAGGCTTTGTTATAGGCTTGTCATGTGATTATAGGCTTTGTTATAGGCTTTGTCATGTGATTATAGGCTTTGTTCTGTCTCTTATATTGTCATGTGATTATAGGCTTTGTTATAGGCTTTGTCATGTGATTATAGGCTTTATTTTAGGCTTTGTCATATGATTATAGGCTTTGTTATGGGCTTTGTCATGTGATTATAGGTTTTTTTATAGGCTTTGTCATTTGATTATAGGCTTTGCTATAGGCTTGTCATGTGAAAGCAAGGACAGACGCTTGAGACTCGATTATAGAAGAATTTTCTGGATAGTGGAAATCATGATTTAGAATTTGGAATCTTCTCTTTGATATTAATTTGAAACTTTGAGTAGAAATTTGATGTCCGGTAGTGGTTATGACAACTTCAAACTCAACCCTGGGTGAGAATCTCAAGAAGATTTTCATCTGAAGTAAAAATTTCATATTTATGAGGCCAATAACTCAATTTTTTATGTGCAGGAAAAGTGTCCAGTTGAAGCTCTTCGCTGCCACGTCTGCAAACTTGACAGCTTCACTTCAGTGGATGTGAGTTTTCGCTTCTTGTCAATGATATCCTGTTTGAAGTCTATTTCTACTACATCTTTACATGTAATATAATACATTTACCTTGATTAAGTTAAATACCCATTATTGCAGGACTATAAGAAACATCTGAAGAGTTCGGTGCATGGAGAAATCCTTAACGCTCTACACCGCAAAAACTCAGCAGTCTTGGATCTTCTGAGGCAACAGTCAAAGGTATTGTGGCTTGTCCGTTTCATAGCAAAATTACTAAGAGCTTAACACTTACTTAAGCACCTTGCCTGCAACTCTTTATAGTGTTCCACAACTCCCTTAGGAATGCTGGGCTGAACTGTTCGCCTAAAATGTATTTGTAAAAAATCAAATCCTTTGTATATCAGTTTATTTGTAATGTCGTGTCATGATACCGCTGCCGCAGCATTTCTCTGTAAATTTTCATGCATTTCTCAGTAAAATTGGTTGTGCTTGAATATATGCACAAGGATCTGGTAACAACACCAACTTATGAAGAGAAAACTTGGACGTATTTACTGGAGTGATGGCGCAAAACTGACTTTTTTATCAACATATTTCTGAACTGCATTGGGCAGTTAGAGTTTAATACTCTTTCTGGTCAAAGTTGCACTATGGAAACTCTATATTTGACCAGTTTAGTATCCTATTTTTTTGCACTATTTTGGAATTGACAAATTCATTTAATGAAGTTAAAGAATCTTACTTTTTTCGCAGATTGCGGCTATGCACCTGATGCTGGCCTTGGACGACAAGGATGCCAAGAAGAGCCAGTGCTACAAATGCATCTGCAAGGTGGCGGGATCTCTCCAGAAGCACATCAATTCGGTCGAGCATAAGGTGGCTGACTTTGATGCTTTTTTATATTATATTATCTCTAGAGGTGCTGATATGTATGTATTGTTTCTTTAATTAACGTGCCATCAATTGTTTTTTTACAAGATATGTAAAATATATGTTTTTACAATATATTTTTATGTTTTTTTTTTACAAAAAGGGGATTTTTTTTTACATGCTTGAGTGTCATTTGTGTCCATTGTGTTGTAGCTCGTCAACAACTTCCAAATCGTGAAGTGCTGCAACGTTTGGTTCAGCAGCAGACCAGACTACGAACATCACCGTCTCGGCTTCCGTCATCTCCTAGTGAGTGCTTAGTTCATATAAATTTTCAATACATAGAGCAACTGGCTGCATCTGTAACCACGCACTTATTTGCCAGTGAGAGGGTAATGCTATTGAATTTAAGTAAAAAGAATAAACATAGGATTTGATGGGCATGGACTTCTTCCCACAAGCAGATCTAAATAAAGTCAAATCGCTGCAAGATTGTCAATGCCGCAGTGTACGCTGCCGTTGCAATTACATGACATGATGTTAGTCTCCCAAAGTGTTAATTTCTTCATCGAAGACATGAAGTTTTAGTGCCTGAAACATGGAATGCATGACCTGCTGCTTTTCAATGGTTTACTTGCCCTTCTCATTAGGTGGTATGGTTATAATAATCAATATTCGAATTTATTGTTACAGCTATCAATATATGAATTTTGTGTGCAGGCAAAGCACGAGGAGCGACAGAAAGTGGAGGTTCCTGAGCCGGGATCTACTGTAGTAGGCGACAACGAAGAGGCTCCATTGGACAATCAAGGTATATAATCGCAAAATATAATATATTTGTTACGTATTCAATAATGTTCTGGCAATGTGGAACACAGTTTCTTTCATTATTGTTAATTATAAGAAATTTGCTTCTTGTCACTGGTTACTTAGTACTTTTTGGTAGGCCATTTGTTTCATTTAACATATACATCGGCTCTTGAAGTTTAATTCATCACAATGGCTTCTAAAATCATGAAATATTTCTCTTTGTTTTGTCACTGATATATTGTGTATGTCAGACGAGTGGTGGGGAGCGGCTGACCGAGCTCTCAAGTGTCTACGGAGAACTTGTGATCGACCAGAGCCTCTTACTTCCGCGTCTCTCCCGCCATATTCGGGAGATACTCCCGTGGGTGAGTCAAATGTCTTGATGCTGACGTGGCAAAAAAATATAACTCAATACTCACTGCAGTGAGTGACAGTGCGCGCATTTTCACGTCGACGAAAACGTGAAGTCACGGACGGACAGACAGACAGACGAACGGACAGACGCACATGGCGAGCACAATAGTGCATTTTTTCCATAAATGCGAAAATGGTCTAAAAACATGCAATCAGAAAAATATGTTAGTCATATTGTTCAAATGCGAGTAGTAACGCACCTTCTGCACATAACACTGATCGCTCTTTTGTCAGGTCAAACAGGGTCAGGATGACGACCCACACGAAGCGCATCACAATTTGGACAGCCTTTCTCATTTATCAGCCTTGACAACCCTCTTATGACAGCCATAATTTGTGTGGTATAAAATATTTTAGTTACGTCATAGCTAGCTGTTCTTCAGAACACATTTAGCTGTATTGTATCTTGCCTTGGATTGAGAAAGCTATAGGTACTTTGTTACCATCAGAAGTGATGTATGTTTTTTGTGCAATAACAGTTCTTGGTTTGTGATCTGTTGTGTGGATATCTAGACGGCTGATTATTTAAGTGACTATTCCTATTGTCCTCTTACTTTACATGCGAGACAATAAATTCCTCCTAGTTACTTCTGGAAAAAAGACGCTACTCCATAGGACGCCAAGTTGTTCAAATCAGTAGTGTATTACCAAGTTACATTTTTTAATGGAGCAAATCCATTTTTTTCCGGGTGAAGTTTGTGTACAATTATTCTAAGCATGAGCACCAAATCATTAAATAGATCGGAATTGATTATTCAGAGCACTTGAAAACCAAGTATTCATATCGGTTAATGGACTTCAGTAATAATAATGTGTCTCGATCTGTATTGTGTTATTAATGTATTTCCTCATATTTGTATTGTCAAATTGCGAATGATGATGAAACTTATCTTAAAAACGTTCTCTGGCAACATGGAATTTTTTTTAGCATTTTATCACTTTTAAATTTTTACCAAAGAAATATTTGCAACAAACATAACGACTATGTATTTTCGTGATGGCAGGCGAGAGCTTCCTTTCTTGTCACGCGTCTCTGAAGTGCAGCGCGTGCGACGAGCGACTCGATCCTTCCTTGGCCGAGGTGCATTGCCGCTCCAACGCTCACTACATGCACGTGCTTAGCGCTCTCAAGTCTAAGGTAAGATAATGAAATAAAAAGTGACTGCTTAAGTACAATACTTTGCCTATCTTTCTTGTATTGTAACGTCCAAACGGCATCGGAATGCTAGAGTTTTCATGAATGTAACGAAGTGCACTGCTACCTTGTACGGTAAAAAAACTATGGAAAGCATGGAATAATTGTCTACATTCTAAAAATATATTAATATCTACTTTTTGTAAGTAAAACGGAATGGAAAGTATGAAATGACTCCTTAAATTACAGAAAATGACGGGCACCTGCTATTGAAATAAGAAACGATTCAGAAAACCGGTTGTCAACGTTGATAACATAGGTAGACGTTTACCTTCTATTTTAATCTAAAGCGGAAGAGAAAATAGGTTGACTATGTTGACAACGTAAATGGATGATTACCTTCTATTTAAATCTAAAATGGTACAGAAAACAGGTTGACTGGGTTTGAACTATAAACGGACGCTTACCTCCTGTTTAAAAGCTAAAATTGGTTGTCTATACCTTGCCTCCCGCTGCATCGAATAGCTCTCGATGAATCAGTCTCTACCGGCCATGTTGAGAACTACTCCGAGTGTCTGAGTTTCAGTGATGTATATGAATTCCAGTCTGTGGTTCTGAATTTGCGCAGACCAAAACTGCGAATGGTGCTGGTTGGAATCTTTGATTGTGAAATTAGCTGTACAAAATGGTTGAAGAAGTAAATTATATTATATTAATCATACGGTAATGAAAATTAAGCAGTGAAATTCTCGCGTGTTAATTAATATTCTGATAAACCTGTAGAATTTCACAAGACAATATCGTGCAAGGAATTTTCAAATGACGGTAAAACAATGGCTGTACTACAATCTAAAGAATGTCATACATTTGTGTATTGTAATCACACTTCTGACAGGAGGATAAGGAAGCCCCGGCTGCGACTGAGACCTCACGCGATGAAGAGGTCGTCGACGCCTGCCACTCCACCGACTCCAGTACAGACCTGCCTAGTCAGAGTCCCTCGTGAGTCTTGATGGCAATACATAAGTGAATCCTGCGCAGATATCACTAGATTACTACTGAAGACTTTTAAAATGATAGAACGCTTGAAGTGGTTAAAGAAAATACGTAGTACTTCGACCCAAATATTACTGCAGTATATGCCAATGCTTGAGTCCTTCGCGAGTCTTGATAAAAATACAATCGAATCCTGGGAAAGTAATACTAGATTACGAATAAAGAGTCAGATTACCAGATAATACTACTGGATCACTACTGAAAACTTGCTAATGTTACTAAATTACTACTTGTAAACTTGCAACTATTAGTTGATTGCTAGACTACTTGCGCAAACATTACTAAATTACTACTGAAGGCTTGCAAATGAATGAACCTGCAGTCAGTCTTATTAAAAATAGGTTAAAGCCTGAAGAAGACTGCAAATATTACTAGAACAATATTGAAGTCACTGCGGATCCTGGTAGCACAGCATCTTCCAACTGTTCTAACATTTGATGAAACCGATTTGGTTTGTTTAATGCAGTTTTTCTTAAATTTGTGCGCTGGAGCACCACCTGGAGATCCCGTCTGGCCGACACATTTTTATTTGTGTTTAAACACAAACATTTATCAATATGTTTGTGTTTTGAAGGCTGGCAAAGGACATGATCATATTTGGCAGCAAATACACAAAATCATCCAGTACAGTTCGTACTATAATACCTGAATTTGAATTCAGCTGACGGGTGTTTTAATGAATAAATTAATCTCAGCTTATTTCAAGATGTACCATACTTTTATTTTGTTACTTATTCTAAATTCAGACTACCTCAAATTAATAGAATTTAAATGAATGAGAATTTTTTATTAACTTTGTGAACGAAGAGGTCCTTCTGGAATTATCATTACTCAAGTTTCAGAATATAATTCAAACTGAAAAGTTAATTTGATAAAGAGGTAACATATTGAAGCATTATTTATTCCGAGCAAAGCCTCGTTTGACTGTACGTTAGAATAAGTTTTTATATGTATTTTAGTCTAGTAAGTTAATTGTACTCATTTTTACCAGGCGTGGTAAGGACGGTGATGAAGGAAGTCACTTCAGCGAAGAAACCCGTGATGGAACCTCCATGCAGGCGGAGGCAGAGAGCAAGGACGATGACATCGAGGAGGGTAGCAACGGCCCTGAAGACGATGAAGATGAACGAATGATATATGAAGGACTCAATGACGAGCCCCAGCTCGATTTTGTGGAGGAAGAGGAATTGTGCCAGAAATCTGATGACTCTGACACTGCCAGAGATTGTGTTGATTTATCGGCAAAGCAAGAAGACGAATACTTTGCCCTTGATAAACCTAATGGTGAAGTTTCTGCTCCATCAAACGGGGCTGACAAGAAAGAGGAAGGACATTCAGATGATGAGGATGCAGACCAGTTCAAGTATGAAGATTTAGACGACGTACCAAACCGTGATGCTGATGTCAGCAGTTGTTCTGCAGTTGGAACTGACGATGCTGTCGCTGTCGTGGAAGAGGTCTCGATTGATGTTACTGATCCCCAGAAAAATCCCGAGATTTCAAGCGATCCCATCCAAAATGTGGAGCCTCCAGCTGAAGATTCTGTCTCGTTAAATAACATGGAGACATTGAATGGTTCTCAAAACAACGCTGTAGTCTCAACTGACACTAGCATTTCGGCTGATGCTTCTGAGACGTCGAGGGATGAGACTGTTGCTAAACAAGAGGACAAAGAAGATGAGGCCAATTCTGAGAGTGCAAACTTTGCCATGTCCGACGTGCATGTAAGTGAGGCGGCTACATAGTCCATTGCATAGCTGATTGATGCACACGAAAAATCGCCGTTTTTATTTTCGAGTTATTCCAAGTTATGTTATGATGTACGTTTCGTCAAGTAGTACTTTACTCTTTATTTTAGTTCCTTAAATGATTTTCTTCTACCGAGTTTCTTGGTCTGTCTTCTTAATTCTGTATTTTTTGTTTACAGGACAGCGCGAGTCTCGAGAATTACGAGCTTCCCAAGCCCGTCAAGTGAGTTTAGAATAAATTTTTGCGAATTTTTGTATGCCTATTATATGCATAGGACTGATTTCTATAGCAACATTGGTTAGTGCCAGCGCTATTTTACTTGGTACAATTTACATTATTTTTCACATTACGAGTCATTATTGATTAAATAAAGTCAAGAAACTTCTTCCAGAAAATTCTTACGCTTTCACCTCTCTTTCCGAACGTTTCTCAACATCTCACAAAATATATGCAGTTTAATGAGTGACTTCAGTAAAAAAATCACTAATTTGTAAGTAAATAAATAAGTCACCTAAGCCCCTAAATAAGAGCTTTTCGTTTAATATTAATAACGTTTTATCTCATTGTCTTATGATGTCTCCTCGTCTTTTTGTGTATGATCGTTTCGCGTTGCCTGATCGTCTATTGATGACAGAGAGGACGATGAAGCACCCAAAGACGAGGAATCAGTGGCGACGCGACGAAGCGGTCGCTCGGTGAAGAAGCGCGTCCTGGACGAGGTCGTGGAGGACGTTGGGGCGATGGAGCCTTCACCCAAGAAGGGCAGAGGCAGGGGCAGGGGACGTGGCGCAAGGAAGTGAAGAAGCCTGGCTATGCTTCTATAGTGACACGGGGAAGTGATACAAACTAGAAAAACACAATTGAGGGTTGGTGCTGTTGCATTTCACGAGACCTAAAAAACCAAAGCAATGTGAGATAAAGAAATGATGAATATTGCGATAAAGATCATGCAACAACTGGAGGGAATGAGTAGCATAATACTTACATGGGAGGTACAGGCAAGAAGTTTTGTTAAAGTTTCTCACGTTGCTGAGTTTCGTATCACTTAGCAGCGTGCACATGAGCTAGGCTTGGAGACGCCCACCATTTGAGCGAGTCAAATATAATGTTTGAGCTACAGGCTAGCCGACCAAGTTTATTATTCTAGCCTTTATAGAACCTTTGATTAACTTGAGCATTTGAACGTCGCTCACGTCCTTATCACTATTTTCCGGTGACTGTATAATTGTGGAATAATTTGTTTGCACTCAATCGCGTCGATGGGTGGACGTGAGCCGAATTAATTGCGTTCTTAATGTCAAGGCAATAATTGATTCACTCTTGTTATTTCCATAGGAAAATTTATAGTGATCACGCATTTATTTTTTGATCCATTCATGCATTACGATAGATCAATAGTAACTCACTAAGACCTGACACGCAAACCAAACCTCACGGCCGTTCCTAGGACGGTTTCTCGATACCGTGCAGGCCTGACAACTGCCGCTCTGTTAGCTAGACATCCGGATGTCATTTAAGCATTTGCTGGGTTATATATATTTCTGTAATTTAAATGCCGAATTAGCACGGTTATCCCTTTAAATTGAATGAAGTTTGTCTTGACAATTAAATCTCGTTACTCGTTGATGAAGATAGCGACGCCTTTCTGCTCGTAGAAGATTCACTTAAAACTTTAAATTATAGATATTTTGCAAGCTAATGCACGTCTGCAACTTGCACTGCTTAATGTTGTGCAGAGCAAAGAATGGATGTTAAGAATTCTTATAAGATGAATGTGTTTCGCTTTTGATGAGGGCTTGTCAGAAAAAAAAATAATTTTCCGTTACAATGTTGTTTTCATTTTCGCATTTATGCAAGGTAGGCAATATCTCCCTACCTAGTCAATCAAGCTAAACCCGTACTAATCAAATATTTAAAATTCTACGTATAGGAAACAACTCGGAAAAACACTAAAATATGCACAGTTTATTTCAGGAATTAAATGAGAACAGATGGCAGGTGTCATTATTGTCAGTCGTCCCGATTCCGACGAGGCCGGATCCATCGAAAATAGTGCGACTTATTAGTAATTCAACGATGTGCAAGATGTACAACTGAAGAAAGAAATCTTAATTTATCAATTCATATGGTGAAAGCAGACATTCCACAATTTTAAAGGACTCCTAGGCGTTCACTACACGAACCAAGTCAAATGACTGTGCTACCACATAGTTACTTACCAAGTAAATCCCACCACATAGTTTACCAGGATTCAGACCTGAGACTAGTACCTCGTACACCAGATAGACTTATGACTCAATCTTCAGATGCATACTGGATCAAACTATGCAAATAAATTTCAGTCGCAGCATCTGGGTTTCAAATTAGAACTAGACATTGATACGGAATTTCGAACAACAGGCGTTGGAACAGAATTCAAGACTCGAGAAAGCCTACATTTACATTCCAGACGCATCTCCTTACAATTTAGCACTTGCTAGATGTTGTAGTTGGAGTGATGACCTTTATTGGTTATTTATTTCTGTTGCATTCAAATTCGCGAGGGGACTAGTCAGTTAGGAATAGCTGAACCATGGTTGTACGGACAAACCATGAGCTGAATGGCCGGAGTCCATGCTTAGAAATTTATACGCAAGCAATTTATGATAACGATCGTCGTAGTATTTCCTGACTGCTTCAAGAATCAAGTATTAACTTTGTTGAAATTAACATTTTCTGTCGATGCAAGGCAATGCTCCGACGAAAAATATCGAGCTTGGACGAGAGCTCCGAAGAAAAAAAAAAAAACTTTAACCATTGGATAGCAATACCCCCAAGCGCGTGATTCGTCAATTTTTTGGGAGTGATCGAATGTTGAGAGAAAAAGTTAATGCACATTACTGTTGATAACATTGGTGAAGGAGGTAACATTCATATTGTAGCAAGTTGAGATAGGAACTAGGATGCAAATTTTTGTAACCACTGCCATAGACGTATCCAGACAACAGTAGACTTACGGTCACGCGTTCAGACACATTTGAATTCTATGTTAACAACTCTCAATGAAAAGGCACTAGCAAGAAATATCAAGAATTAAAAGCAGCACAAGACCTCAACGCTAACGAATTACAGTTCTAGCTGGCTTAAAAAATACACAAATATCAAAATCATACGGAGTGAAGTTCCATAGCATTATTTGCACCTGCAGCTCTCCGTTCCTAGAGAATGAACGAAAATTTTTCACTGTAACTCTACCGTTAACGAGTTCATAACAATAATGAACGATCACTCAGCTCTCTGCACCTTTTTTTTAGAATCCTAGAATCAACTTGAAGAACGAAGTAGGCTGGTGGAGTCATCCATGGCCAGGCGATACATGTTAATTATAGCCTACGCGAGCTAACCCTACCCATTTTCATCAAACACAAATAGTTAAACATTAAGTCCATTGCAACCGCTGAAATAAGGATGAATTCACTTTTAACTCACAGGACACTTTCACTACCTGGTCAGACCAAATCATAATGAAGGTTACAACAAATCTTACCAACACAGTTCGTAAAAACTCTTGTTTCCGTCCAGACACAATTTGCTTAGCCAGGTGTGAAAGCACCATACGGATGGATTAGAAAATTTATATTTATATCGGTTAATCCATGAAATATGGTTGGCCGCCACGTGTGCGCCTTCTAGTGAGGACCTCAACACCAGTGTCAGTTATCAGAAAAGTTTCCTCGAACTGAGCAGAAAGTTTACCGTCGTTTGTGACAGCTGTCCAGTTGTCCGGCCACTGCTCGTCCTTCCAAGTTCCTTTCAAATTAAACAATATTATAAGTATTAAAATCACTCGTTTGCTTAAATCGCAAGGTAACATAACACATCGTCAGTTCATAACACAAGTCCAGTAAAACGTGGTAAAGGAAACAGTGAAAATTACGATGGAGCTGGACTCCAAAACGTTTTCTCTTATAAAGAAATGGTGAAATTTTATGGTATTGTCTTTGCTTTTAAATACATGAAACATTATTATTTGCCTAAGAAAAAAATTGGTGCAGAACTCAAATTTCTCCTACCTAATCACTGACCTTGCTATCTTTATTAGATTTTAAGGAATATCATTAAATATGACTTTGAAATCATTGGCTTCCCTCACGAGTAAACTCTCACCTGACTGAATTTTAATTATTAATTTAAATAAAATTATGTACAAAATCAAATTCGACGGCATGTACAATCAGCTGTTAAGAGAAAAGCTGCATCAGGAATGGCAGATAACAAAGTAATTTATCGAGAACTATTTTGCAAAAGGCAGCCAACTTTCATCATCGTACTTTAAATATTATTTCAATCACTAGTTCATTGACTGCAAATGAACACTTTCAATACACAGACAGACATTAATTTCCTTTATCCAGTCCTAATCATAATTAGCACTAGAGTTCATTAACGCACCTTCAGAGATCATGGGTTCCACAGTGAACGTATGGCCAGCTTTCATGATTCCTATGGCTTTGTTTTCTGCAAGAAATAATTTTCAAATTAATGCAAATAAAATCTAAAAAAGTAAATCTATTAGGTCTCAACATCGAGCCAGCAACAATCAACTATGAAGTAAGAACATAAACAGACTGCATTTAACGTAATTCATAATTATACTTAACCATGAATGAATGAATCATAAAATCCAATGAATCAGAAATAAAAGATTTTTTACAGCTGGTAGGACATTAAATGCATTCGTTCCGAAGAATAACTGAAAAAAAAACTTTTGTTTACGAAAAGCAGTTAGAATGACACTATTTGTATGGATATTTGCCAGTTAATATAACTGAAATTTTATTCTGGTCGAGGGAAGTAGAGCTAATAACCGTCTGTGAAGGTTGTTGGAGAGGACCTGATACTCTAGAATGGTTGTGTTCGATTTAGTCATAATGAGGTATTTATTCCATTATAAGTGTAAGGCTCTTGTATAAAAACAATATGTAATAATCAGGTACGATTCTCATGAAAGTACGAAACATTGGCCTTTGTTACTGTCACTGTATTGATATAAAGAGGACTGGGCACGGTAGAACAAGTTACACTTTTGACTCCTAGGCAGTGCTAAGTGGGCCACGTTAGGCATGCATTTAAAACATATACTACAATAATTAATTATTAATCTTGGAATGGCTGTAGCGACTCACTGGCGTAATGCGGCACAGAGGGCGTCGTGTGGAAGAGCTCATGGATGCCGTGGCCGCAGTAGGAGCGCACTACGCTGTAGTTCTGGGACTGCGCATGACGCTGGATTACGGTGCCGACGTCCCGATACTTCACTCCTGGCCGCACTGTAACATCATAACTCAGCTAATTATTATTATCAGAAGATGTTTAATATTCATAGTTTACTTAAGAACATCAACAAAACAAACGAGGCTCAATACTTTGTTCCTGGACTGACGGGGAGAACGAAAAGTAATTATTTATCAACTAAAGGTTTTCATTTTTTATGAGAAAATATTCCCATAGACATTAATTATTCTTTAAAAAAGGGAATTTGTTAATGCATTTTTACAAATGACACCAATTAGAACAAGTATTATCACAAACCAAAATTTAAATTAATTTCATTCTATTTACTGACGTGTGTAGATTGTAGTGACGAAAATAGTAGTACCTATTAACTAATAAATGAATGTGTTTTAAGCAACTATCATTTGCAACAAGAAATTTGTGACCGTACAAGAATATACAAATAAGCTTACTCACGCATTTCGGTGACTTTCTGGAGACATTCCCAAGTGGTCTTGACAAGATTCTTGGCATTCTCGTTGACATCGCCAATGAGAAGCGTCTCGTTAAGGTCTCCATGATAGCCACGATGGTAAACCGTCACATCAATGTTGCAGATATCACCATTGACCAGAGGACGCAAGTCAGGGATGCCGTGACAGATGACTTCATTAATAGAGGTGCAACAAGACTTAGGGAAGCCATGGTAGTTCAGAGGCGAAGGGTAGCATTCTCTTTCCACTGACGCCTCATGTACTATTCTGTCTATTTCATCAGTCGTGACGCCAACAGCAGCCGCTGCAGCCCCCTCATCCAGAACCTCACGGGCTAACTGAGATATATCATGAAATCATCAATAACAAGGAATAAAAAAACACACATGAATGAGATCACTTCAAGATATTCACGTTGAAAACATAGAGCAAAAAAACAGTTCTATCTCACAAATAACTCACTAGTCATCATGCTCTCCCTCTTCTATGATCTAATTTACCAGCTATATTTCAATTCTCCCGAGTTCTCATGATAAACCAACACCTTAGGGGTGACACTACAACTCATTTTTTATTCATGTCCCGTGAACGCTCCCGATAAATCATATATTGACCTTGCAAGCTACGCGCATGCTCTCAATCTCCTCGTCATTGAGGACTCTGATGCTGGTTGTGCCTCGGAGCTTCTGTTCAGACAGAGGTATGCTTGTGTCAGCGTAGTCTGGCCGGGCAATGTGGGCAGGTACGGTGCGGCGCGGCGTCTGTTTTGCAGGCCTCAAGTTACCTGCAAGTGTATTAAGTTTATTTCTAGCCCTGAACAAAATGATTACTGAAAATATTCATCAGATTCCAATATTTGGCAATGTGACAATTGATTTGATGTATTGGATATACAGTACACTACCATTTACGTAGTAAGAGATTTGATTATGAAGAAAACATGGGAAACACTATCACGCTCAATAAAGTTCATCATCAAAGAAAAACCAAGATTCCCTAAACATAGCTGATACTACATCTACATCTGTGTTGCAAAATTCTTTTTATGTCCCTATTTATTCAATGTAAGGGTACTCAAGTCAAGAAATAACTTGATAGTGATATTCATTAAAACAATTGTCATACTGCATAATTTAAAAAATTAGTGGTTGCCCTGCCAGGAGATGTGAGGAGTAACTTACCAGTAAATGTGTAGAATGGCCATGGATTGTAAGCAGAAGATTCTACTTCTCCTGGAATGGAAGAGATGAAATTAGTTAATAATGTTCAATGATTAAAACTGTTTAAACTTTTTGTTCATAAACTGAGTGGCTTATAACTATTGAGACATTTTTGCAACTAAAAATGCTAAAAAAACTATTCCTAGGACTATGAAAAATTTGAATCAATTTATCCTTCAGCAACCTATCAAACATGATAAGTATAGGTATTAAGCACAAATGTAGATATGTCAACAATTATGCCAATGTATGTAAACACTACCTATGCAATATTACTTGCAATGACTATAAACCTTATTTTAACTCTCCACAAATTGACCAATGAATTATTATGTTAGAGCCATTAATAAAACATACTGCTTTTTTTGTGGACCAATTTGTGAATTCCCCAGCTCTCCTTGAAGCAACTCTGAAAAGAATCATTAATTCGAGGAATAATTTTCAACAATTAGAACAAATTTTCTTGGCTGCTTGTAGTTTTATTTAGTTGCATGGTCATTGGGTATAATTCACAGGTACAAATCAGTGCAGGCATATCAAAATAGGAGCTATGTTTGTGCAGGTTGTTAAGAATCTGTTCTTCACAAAGAAGCAAATATAAAAGTAGCCTTCTTGCATTGAAATGACCAAGCATTACTAAGCAACTGGAGGGGGGGGGGGTAACAGATTTGGACAAGAACTATTGAATTCCATTTAGTATATGGTTGATTTACCATTATGGTTTTTATGGCAAAGGAATTTGGCCTTATTACCATCAAGTGTTAACAAAAAAATGTCTAAATCCAACAATTTTAGGGCATGAAAAGAAAAAAACTTAACCCAGTTGTTGTACAACTAGTGAGATGCAGGCAACTTTCCAAATAGCAAATTCTAGCTTGTATATAATGCCAATATTTGTAATGTAAAACATTTTTACCTTCCCAATAATTAGGTGATTTTCATCAATGCTCAAAAGTAATTGCATGGATGACAATAAAATGTTTATCATTAGTCAGTTGAATTGCATGTTCACAAAGAATTTATAATATAAAAAAACATCAGGATATGATAAATTTACCAGCCATTTTCTTTGCTTTATAATTCTTGGTGGAAATAAATTCAATTTTATTTCTTGGTGGAAATTCACAATAAGAAACCTAACTAGTGGTTAAAGTTGCTCACAATCTAAAAATCCTACTTTTTACTCAAATATTGTGGCTATAAAATCATATTAATTTAGTGAATCAGCCATGTATTTTTGTTCAATTAGAAGTATTGCGGCTTGCAAGTATACATCACTTCGAAAATTTGTGATTTTTGTACCTAAAACGACACATGAATTGCAAGTCAGTGGATACTGCTATTAACTTGCCACTGATCAATAAAACCATATAATACCATCCAGAACTATATATTGGTTTATAGAGTTTGATAGCCACATAATAATACATAAAACACGGTAATTGCATTTAATCTTTGAATTGCAATGAACTAGTTTGTGGCACATAACACAGCTGCACTATTGTCCTTTTGATGCCTTTATTTAGATACTTGAAACCTATTTGCAAATCTCTGACATATGTAGAGCATGCAATAGAAAAACTATTGTCTCATTCTTTGACTATGCTTTGATAATCTCTGGTGACAACCAAAACTTTTCTGAAGCACATGTTGGCTGCACTTACAAAATGTAGTTGAGCATGTAAACAAAAGAAAAGATTGTATGGATATAATTATATTGAGATTTTTTTCTTTGTTTCCAAACATCAGTTGACAGAAATATGTTGTCAATTAAGGGTAGCATCTTGGTAAAAAAAAAACTTTTTAATTTAGGAACCAACCATTTTAAAACTTGGTACACATTTGTAAAATAGAATACCTAAACTTTTCTGTTTGTGTAAATTTTTCAAACAAATGAAAGGAAATGTGATATTAAGAGAAAATGGCAAAAAGAGGATACTGTAAAATCTATCTTCTCATTCAATTAACATACATCAAGAGACACATCATTCAATGTGAAGACCATATCTAGTGATCCCAAACCACTTTTTCAAAATTCTAATTGTTTGGTGGGGTGGGGGAATTTTTTATTTTGTTCCAGTTTTAGCAACCCCCCTCAACCCATTTTTTAATATATAATCCAAACTAAAACAAAATTTAAAAAAGTGACTGGGGAATTGATAGATTTTTTTTGCAAATTGAATGTTATATCTTTAGATGCTGTAGGCTGAAAATCATTGGTCGCAGGAGGAAAATTTCAACTCTTCAGGTAAGCCAAAAAACTGAAATTTGCAATCATTGCAAGTATAAGTTTTACTTTTGCTTTAACAGCTGTCATAAACAAACAAATGAATGCAAATGAACTTTGGTTTCTTCAAATGAGCAGCTTCTGGACTTTAAAATAAGCCTAAAAACACAGAAATCAAAATGCATCATTTTTGGCCAAGATGCTCCCTGTCAAAACTAATATGCTGGTTCAAAATTTTGATGTTTTGTAAAGCTCTGAAATATATTAATTATTCTATATTAATTTACATCTTGAATACATGCGGAAATTGGAATTTTTCTCATTATTATAATCATTATGTTCATATGTTGTAGTCATCATGTAGATTTCAATCCCTAAAAAACAAAGTTTTGAAAAGAATTACCTATAAGATTTATAGTGACAAGCATGATCAAGCCTTCTTGAATTCTTACCTGTGAGCAGAAGTATGAACCTTTTATGTCCAACTTGATGCAGGTAGGACATTGAAGCTTTGCTTCTAGTCCACAATTGGGAGTCTCACATAGTTGAATTCCTTTCCATTTAGCAGCCATTTCAAAGTTAAAGAATGCTTTGTGTTTGATATAAATAAGAGAACGGTATTGACTACTGAGTAATTGAGATTTGAGAATCTAGGTAGTAAAATTGTTTGCAATTGAGTGGCCAAAGTCGAATGATTACCAGGTTCAAGAGGAGCTAGCCTTAAGTCCTCTTTTCGCAATTTGCAAAAATATACTTTATTCAACACCGTGACTATTCAAGGCCAGTGCTGACTGCTTTTACTTGTAAAAATTTTTGTTAAAGTAAAAATTAGCTCATTCAAGGTTGACAATGATTTGATTTGATGCCAGTTTGAAGGTGAAGAAGAAGTCATGTACCCAACCACTTGTAACACCTGGACTCAGCAATGTTTATATAATTCTTGTCTTCATCTTCTCATTTCAGTTTCTTTCTTCTCTCCACTGGTGCATTCTCTCCATGTTGTCATCAGTTTCACATGATGTGAAGCAATGAAAGGGAAATTGTCATTGGATCCAGTGCTCTTCATTGGCTATAAGGTAGTTAGATGACCAGTTTGTGTGAGATACATAGCAGTTGCTCGCACTATGGAGTGCTGAACTCTTATGGGGTAGTTGCCTCCGCCAAGAAGCATATGCACAAAGATGAGAGGGACTCCCAGAGTCCCAGCCTCCCAGGGCATTGATGCTCGACACCATCACCTGTCTCTCAAGGTCATATAGAGCACATATCAGCAGGAAGTGTTCAATTGTTTCTTCTACACCACAATGCAGGCACATGGGAGTGTCAGCCATCCCAAATCGATGGAGGTAAGAACGAACCCCAACATGTCCAAGATGAAGGTGTCTTAAGACCACTGAAACATGGAATGACAGGCAATCCATGGGACTGGAGACAACCCTGAGCAAATGGAAGCAAGATGGTGGACTCGTCCATCAGTAGCCACTGCAGAAACCCAATTCGACTCCCAAATATTAAGAAAACATGACAAAGTATAGCAAGGGCATCCAAGCAAGGTAGAGGGAACAAGGCAGAGTGATGCAGGTGATGTCCCAGTTTAGCAGCAGCATCAGCATGTTCATCACCAATAATGCCATTGTGGGCCTTGCCTTGACCCATTGCAGATGTACAGACTTTGAATCGTTCAACCGTAACAGCAGCTTATGGATGCCATAGACAATATTACAACAAGTGCCGGTAGGGGATTGTAATAGCTTCAAAGCTACAAGAGAGTCAGAACAGATGACCCATTGAGGGAAAGAGTCAATTTCAATGAGCCTCAGGACCTGGAAAATTGCAATCAGCTTAGCAGACAACACACTGTGATACGGATGTTAGGGGAGCGTCTGGGGTCAAATTTATCTCGGTTATTTACAGACGGATCGATTTGAAATTTGGTAAACGTATGTAAAACAGAATTCTAAGACTTTTTTTATTAATGTGAATTTTTCAAAGAAATGAAGGAAAACTTGAAATTCATAGAAAACGGCCAAAAAAGGGGTACTTTAGAAAACCTATCTCCTCCTAGGTTTTTCAAGCTACAACATCAAAACGCATATCATTTGATGCGTGAAGACCATAAATAAAAAAGAGTGTACGCGTTTTTTGAAATTCCCATTTTTGTGGGTGTGGGAGTATTTTTTGTATAGTTTTTGAAATTTTTTTTATTTTACCCCCTGCCCACCCCTTTTTGCAGAATAAAATCTAAACTATAAGGAAATTAGAAAAACGCATACACACTTTCGTAGATCTTTTTTCCAAATCGAATGGTGTTTGTCTCATTGATGTAGCTTCAAAACTCTAGGAGATAGGTTTGCAGTGACAATAAGTTAACTTTTCAGTAGGGCCCGACAAAGTTGCGTGCACCTCAAAAAAGACATTCAAGGGTGCAAGGTTGCAAGACTACACGATATTGGAGCTCAATTTCTGTCAAGGATGGTGCAAACGATGGCACGAGAACCATCCCATATGACTGCAGGCGGATAACTGAAGCACAGCATGTTCAGACTAGCTATTCAAGTGTGCTACCGGTAATTTAGGCCTATATTAAATGTTAAGGAACCCCACCATCCCTAACCCTTTTGCGATCTGTCGTGAACGCATAAATCAACGTACAGAGATGGTTTTGGTACCGTTAGATGCGTCAGAATGTAAGCTTTAAGATGAGTATAAAAACCAAAAAAGTCAAAATTTTCTATTTTGACCCAGACACTCCCCTTTACTTCCAAGCCACAGAATGGTTTCATGGATGGAACATAAGAGTCCACATGGAATAGATGGGCCATCAACAAATTTTGATTCATCACAATAAATTGCTTTGTGATTTGGATGGGTATTTTGCATCCAGATGAGCAGTAAAGAGGCAAGGTGTAGCAAACTCAGAACTCAATAGGAAATCAAGGCATATGAGAGAAGTCAGACAGTGCCAAGGCAGAACCGGATTGAACACAGGAGTGGGATGTCCATGACAAGGAGGAAGGCCCAGATTGTGTAATATCTGTGAGCCACATTGAAGAGCTGAACGTGTAGCACTAAGCACAACCATGGAGGTTATTTGGAGGTTATTTGTAGGACTGGTTATTATTTGTAGCACTAAGCACAATTTGGACGATATTTAAGGCGAATATGCATACTGGCAGCATGATAGCTGCGTTTCAGACTCAGAGGAGGAACATGAGCCTCCACATGAAGGGACATAAGGGGTGTGGTCTGTCGAGCTCCAAGTATAAGCCGCAGGCAGGCATTCTGCAGGATCTCAAGCCACTTTATTTGTGTAGAGGAAGCTGTTCCATAAAGTATACTTCCATAATCTATCTTGGCCCTTATAAATGCGCAGTAAAATTGGCACAAGAAACAGGAACTTGCACCCCAGTTAAAAGAAGCCATATGCTTGAGCAAATCCATACGTTACATCACATCAACCCACAGATAAGTGAGGTGAGGGACCCATTTGAGGCGTGGGGCATCGAGCATCATTCCAAGCTGCTTATGCTGGTGTTGGTATTTGATGGCTTGATGATGATACCGCAGTACTGGTACCTTCACTCGTTTAGTAGTAAAGTACTGGAAGACAGTTTTTTGTATGTTCACAACAAAGCCCCAGGTGTTACAGCATGAATGGAATTCATCCAAGTATCTCTGCATGAGAGTCTTGGCAGCATGCATAGTTGGGCTCCGGCAACAAATGGTGATGTCATCAGCATACAGTAACACCTCAATGCCTGCAAGCTGCGGAATATTCATTAGCATTATATTGAGAAGGAGAGGACTCGATACAACACCTTGGGGCACTCCTGCCAACAAGGGAAGTGGATCTGATAGCACTCCATTCACCCTAACGTGAGCAGAGCAAGAGGTTAAGTAAGCATGAGGCCATCGTGACATAGAACCACTTAGCCCAGCTTGGGCCAGCTTGTAGAGAAGTCCTTCAATCTATACTTTTGATGATCAAAGATTCCCTACAGGTCTATACAGGGTGTCCCAAAAAAACGATATTCAACTTTGAATGGCTGTAACTTGAAAATTAATAGAGTTAAAAAATTTTGGAAGGTCAGGATTTGTTCCTTATGTTTTTCTCAATCTCTTAACCAAAAATCAGACAGATCGATGTAGCCATGAGCGTTTGATAGAACTTTCAGCGACATGTGCTAAAATCATGCTTGCGCAAAGTTTCAGTAAGATCATTTTGCATAATCATTATGTTGTCTTGACATGTTTTCTTTTTGCTGTCTTATTTTTTGCATCTTTGGTGAGACAAAAACATGGCAATCTTAGGTGAGAGGCAATCTTTGGTTTTAAAATTCTTTCTCACCAAAGATTGCCATGATTGTCTCTCACCAAAGAATGCCATGATTGTCTCTCATCAAAGATTGCCATGATTGTCTCTCACCAAAGATTGCCATGATTGTCTCTAACCAAAGATTGCCATGTTTTTGTCTTACCAAAGATTGTCATGATTGTATCTCACCAAAGATTGTCATGATTGTCTCTTTCCAAATATTGTCATGATTACCTCTCACCAAAGATTGCTATGATTGTGTCTCACCAAAGATTGTCATGATTGTCTCTCACCAAAGATTGTCATGATTGTGTCTCACCAAAGATTGCCATGATTGTCTCTCATTGAGGGTTGCCATGATTGTGTCTCACCAAAGATTATCATGATTGTCTCTTACCAAAGATTGTCATGATTGTGTCTCACCAAAGATTGCCATGATTGTCTCTCACAAAAGATTGCCATGATTGTGTCTCACCAAAGATTGTCATGATTGTGTCTCACCAAAGATTGCCATGATTGTGTCTCACCAAAGATTGTCTTGATTGCCTCTCACCAAAGATTGTCTTGATTGTCTCTCACCAAAGATTGCCATGTTTTTGTCTCACCAAAAATTGCCATGATCGTGTCTCACCAAAGATTGTCATGATTGCATCTCACCAGAGATTGCCATGTTTTTGTCTCACCAAACATACAAAAAATAAAACAGCAAAAAGAAAACATGTCAAGACAATGTAATAATTATGCAAAATGATCTTGCTGAAACTTTGCACAAGCACGATTTTCGCACATGTCACTGATAGTTCTTTCAAAAGCTTATGGCTACATCGATCTGTCTGATTTTTGTTGGTTAGATGGAGAAAAACATAGGGAACAAATCCTGACCTTCCAAATTTTTGTCTCTATTACTTTTTGAGTTACAGCCATTCAAAGTTGAATATCATTTTTTTGGGACACCCTGTATAAACAACCAAGCATACCTCAGAGGCTGCCTGAGCAGTGCGTATATGACTCTCCAGTCTAATGAGAACTTCCAAAGTACCCTGTTGTCGTCGAAATCCACACTGACTTGCTGACAGGAGCTCCATGCGATCAACAATGTACTCCAGGCGAGCAGCTACCAACCATTCCAGCAGTTTTCTCAGACATGACAGCAGTGTTATTGGCCAGTAGGATGAAGGAAGGGAAGGATCTTTGCCAGGTTTCAGGATTGGAAGAATAACTCCCTCCTTCCAAGAAGTAGGGAGGATGCCAAGTTGAAAGCTTTGATTAAACAAAGCCAGAATATCTCCATGGTGCTCATACCATAGTGCTTTCAGGAGCTATTACGGATGTCATTTCCACCTGGCAAGGTCATCCTCATCCGGCTCAAGGCTTTAGTCAGCTATTCACTAGTGAATGGTGAGTTATAATCCCTGCCATCAGCCCAGCTACTAACAATCAGATTATGTAAGTTTGCTAGGGGCCCGTATTTGACCATTCTGCCCAGAGTCCTGAAAAGTGTGACAAAATAAATTTGCTTTGGCAAGAGTGGTACCGGTATGCAATAAGTTTCCACCATGCACTACAGGGTAGGCAGGCATGATATAATGGGAGCGCATTAAACGTATCTTTCTCCATGCCACTCCAATGGGAGTGGTATATGTAATCTTGGAAAATAATTCCTGCTTGTAGGCATGCTTACGCTTCAAGACAACATTACGGGCTACAACCTGACAACGCTTGTATTCCATTAGGTTAGCCTGTGTTGGACGTCTTTCCAGAGTTCTCCAAGCATGTCGCCTGTTCCTGATTGCATCTCCACAAGCTTCATCCCACCAGGGAGAAGTCAGGTGCCTTGATTGCTTTCCGGTGGTTTGGGGGATGCAGGCAGATGCAGCATCAATAATTTGAGAGGTTACATCTGCTGTCAAATCTTCAACGGATGTTGGTTGTAGCAAGGTGGAAGAAGAAACGCCTCTGGAGAAATTCTTCAAACTTTCAGTGGTTACCTTCCACTGTGGAACTGGTAGTGATGGAAAAAACATGTAGAGGAAGTGTTGAAGATGCTGATATTAGATACTGTAAAATGGGGTAACTTTGACCACTTTTTTTTCAAAATGATGCCATTTTTTTATTAGATAAGTTAAATTTAAATTGAAACATGCAAAATACAGGTCTATACTCTAGCTTTCCTCACCATAGATTGCTGGCTCCTGCCTCTCATAGTTTTGATGTAATTTAAAAAAAAATGATGGTCTTTGTTACTCCAGCTCTTGGGGTTTCTTTGACCGGGTGGTAAAATCAATTTTATTTTTTAGTAAAATAACTCCAAATAACTCCAGGTTGTGGTGCATTGTAGTATGACCGGTTTGGAAATTAAGTTAAAATTACCATATATAAGACTCTGTAGAGTCTGAAACATAAAGAAAAAAACATTAATACGTATATCCAACATAAAATATGTTATATAGGTACCTATGGTAATTTTAACTCAATTTCCAAGCCGGTCAATGTTACCCCATCACGGCGGCCATTAGGTGGTCAAAGTTACCCATTCGGGGGCGGCGCCCCCCATTTGCAAACTATGACACTTTTCTGAAATTTGTCTTT